CCAAACCGACCCATCACTGCTTGAAATGCTGTTATCGTTGCTGTCCGTTTGTAGCCGTTATCGCTTGGTTCGGACTTGAAGAAATTCTCAAGCCACGAGATAACAAATTTGTGGAATGACCAATGTGTCAAGCTAAAATCTGCGGCTCCCTGCCCGGCCACGTCATGAATGACCCTAGTAACCCTGACTACCTTAATGCTTTTCGCGACCTGTTCAGGGTTTTAGGGTTTCAACGTCGGCTTCAACATCGGGGTCTTCAGGGCCCGACCTTCAGGGCCCGACCTCATATATGCCCCTGAGGTGCTAGGGAGAGTCCTTGGGTGCCAGCCTTCCACTCCTGTTTTTCCATATTGGCTGCCTGTAACCATAAACCAGAAATTATGATACCTTATTAGTAGACATGCTATCGCACTATTTGAGCAGGTTAAACAGCAAGGAAATTTGCGTTTAACAGCGTTGCCTGATTAAGTAATCACAGCCATAGGCTTCGCGTGAAGCGCCAACCTAACGGCTAAGGGGCACCATTAAACATCTACCTCGTCCTTGTACAAACATGCTGTGGCTTCCTTGTGTCTGACATGCCAGGTACTTCACGCAGGCCTTTCAATTAACTGTATGAGATGAAGAACATAGGCACATGCACCCTTCACACTCCCTAACCTCCTCCAGGGGGTAACACGTTCATATTGGTATCGACATGTGTGAAGATTGTCGTGGGTCGCACCAGGTTCGTTAGCCTCGTCAAACGGCACGGCAAACCGTTGCAGCCTTGGCCCCAGAAGAACAACACACGAAGGGCCCAAAGGCAACAGCCGTGCATCTGTTCTTAACTGCTGCAGTGGCAGAACTTGGAAAACGTATACCATAAGCAAGGAAGCGGTCGTTCCCATCCTCGATACCCTTAGTAGTCAGCTGCACGGGACCGAGTTATTGTTCGACATGTGGAACGAACAGCAGCGTTCGTAGGACGGCGCGTTGCGGCATCATACACGAAGCAAGGAACAAGCAAATAAACCACGCGAATTTTATGTCCACACATACACACCACACAAACGCATTCAATGTGCACCTCCAAGCTGTCTACAGAAAAATAAGATGTAAAGAGTAAGAAACCCCGCTTCTCAACTCTGTCACGCTCCTCCATAGCCTGACCGCCTGCCTGCCATGGCCCACAAGCTTCCTCATCCGCGGCTCCCCTCTAATACAACATCGTTCCCCATTTTCCACTTCGGCGACACCACGGCAGTCGTGTGGGTTCCACAACACCGCTGTTAGAAGGCTCCTTATGTAACGCTATAACCATTCCTGTAGCCGCGTTGCAATTGCGCAGGCCGCGCCGCTTCGCCTTTACCCCCTTCCCTAAACAATGGGCCCCTACCAAACCCCCCTGTGTTGCCTAATCCAGCTCCTTATCAAAGCTATTCCCGTGTGTCACCGGTCAGGTCTGGAAAAAGAACTACTGATACGAACTACGCAAAGCACCGCGAGCCGCCAGCTCGGGCGGTCTTAAGGTACACTAGTCACAGCTTGCGAGGCAAAGATGCGAGTGAAGCACGCAAGTGCCGCACTGGACCAATCCAGGACGCATACTGCCGCGCGCTTGGTGTTTCCTGGAGGTAAAGGGAAGTGTGATGGGTTTCGCGAGGGCGTTAGATAGAGTGATGCAGTCCTGAAGGACTACCTGCTCTGCACGGTGGCAAACGAGGGCGGCAGAGAGCCTTCAGCCCGGAAGCGGACGGGACCCTTCTCTAATATGCAACCATGAGTCAAACCTCCTGCAGTCGTTCAGCAGTCAAAACGCTCGGCGGCAAGCGGGCGCTGTCCACGACCCACAGCGTTTCACGCCATGCTGCAAAAAAAAATCCAGCGCACCAAGATGTGCAGTGCTGATGGCCGACAACGCCATATACGCCGTACACTACTCGTCCCGACCGCGACGTCGCGTTGGCACAACTCACATACCCGTCAGCCCTCCATGTACGTACATATGCATAAACATAAACGAAAGGTCTTGCATGCAGGCGCGCAGTGTACTCGCAGTTGTCCGCCATCTGTCAGGTTTGCGGGTCTTTGCTGCGAGAACCCATTCACGTCCGGCCAAACAATACGACTTTCTATTCCGGCCTGATACGCTGACTTAATCCCTGTGTCCCAGCCTCCGGTGCCTCCGGCCACTTCCCCGACTCCCAAGGGAGATCGGGTCGCCATATGTAGTGTGGACGGCCCATGTTGGCCCGCGGCCCTACGAGAATACGGCGCTAAGGACACGGACGGCTCCACGCCGCCAGCTAACACGCCTCTGCAGTACTGACCGGCACGTTTAAACCCTCTCTTCTCCTACCCATCCGCTGCTACGCCCCTATTTAAAATACCAACACAGGCCGTTGAGCCACAAACCGATCCGTTGTACAAGCTAGGGCCTTTCCTTACCTAATCAACCTTATATGTACGGCGAGAGCATACAGGCAAAAATACACAGTTCGCTTTGATGCAAGCATCATGGAAGAGATCGGCAGATCCGTAATGTCGTCCAGGCCACAAGGCATATACACCAAGTTGAGCCGGGAAGATAAGACTGGCAGAGGACCGCAACAACGGCATGGACAGCTGAGGCGCATGCAGCTAACCTCATTGTGGTGCTAGCACACGCACGGCATGGGGCCCGCCTTGCCTCACTTCCCTCCCTCAACCTGCCTCCCCATCCCCACGCTTTCAGTCTACAACCAATCTTACTGCTACGTACACAAGTAACTCCACAACGCCAAACTCCTTTAACCGCGACACGGGGCTCCGTCTTGTCTCCAGGGAATCGACAATTTTCAACTTCATTGCGACGTTAAACTAATCCCGCCTGTAATATTTAGCTCTTCACCGCAACCCCCAATGCCCCGGCACGCCGTACCAAAACGTCCGCCACTGGCGCTGCGCGATCTCACAACGCATGCGCCGGCACGACTCTTATCGCATATCAGCTTTTCCCCCATTCTCCCACCCAATCCATGTACTTTGTTCGTGAGCCCGTCGTCGTTACTTCCGTGTGGGTTGGCGAGGGGCCCTCAACAGCACGCTTGCCCGTCCCCGGCATGAGGAGCGCTACCGGAATATGTGCCGCTCGGGCCTGACAGCGAGCCGACCAGCCAGGAACTGCAGCCAGCGGCTGCGCCACCCGGAATTGCAGCTCTCTGCCAAAATCCAGGCCTTGTGCAGCCGAGCCGCAATGCCACTCACGCCTTAAACGCTGCGCAGACGCAGCGGCCGTGCCGCTTAAGGCAGGACCCTCTCCTACCGATACGATTGGAGCTACCAAAAGCGGGAGCATAGCACTACGTAACAGAAGCTGGCATCACTAGCAACTAGGTGCCTGTGGCGCTCCTTCCCAAGGCCACCTAGATCCCCCTCCGCAAGCTGCCACCATTCAAGGGGCCAGGGGCCCCGCCTACGCCTGTCCCTTGGCCCTTGGACTGTCCATTGAGCAGCGGGTCGCCGTGTATGCGTGCGCTGCCCAGTGAGGGCAGATGAGGCCCTGGACCCCCAACCCCCACCCCAGCCCCGTGGTTGCTGCTGAGTTGCTGCTGCTGCTGATACATGTTGGCAAGCGGACCGTTAAGGACGGTGGTGCTGTTATTGGAGCCGCCGCCGCGAGCGGTGAGGGAGCCCAGCTTCATGGGCGGTGGCAGCAACCCAGCGCGGCGACTCTCGTTGGTAATCCCGTCGCCGCCACCACCGGCAGCCGGCAGATTGGTACCGACGTTATATCGCGTGACGCCAGGCGGTAGCGCCGGCCCCGTTGCGTTGGTAATCGATCCCGGTGGCTTTAGGTGATCGAGATTGATAGACGCTAAGACGCTCAGCCCAGCGCCACCTCCACCGGCGCCGTCGCCTCCTTGACCGAAGTTAGAAGGGCGCCGAGTGACCTGCGGCGACATCATCGACGCGCTGCCCCCTGCCGCCGCACTGGGGCTAACGGCACCTGAGGGACCCGGCGGCGGCTTCCCACTGAACGTCCGTACAGGATGTTGAAGACCGGGGAGTGGCGTGGCAGAGGCACCACCTGGTGCTTTCATCGAAGGCGGTGCCAACAGTGTTAGTGCGGCGCCGATGGAGGCGTTGGGGTTGAGGAGGCCGCCACCTGCTGCAGCGCCACCCGGTGACAGGCTCGGCAGGTGGCCGGCACCGCCAAAGGAGTTACCCCGCGGCAACAACGTGGACAATGGCGGGTTGAGGTTGAGATTCATGGTGGAAAGCGCGCCAGGCGCGGGCACGGCCACGGTCGATATCACGGTGCCCTTGGCTTGGTCTGGATATTGATTGTCTGAGGGGAGATGGGGGTCCACGCACGGCAGGGGAGAAAGGGCCACACACATGTAAAACACAGCCAACCAGACCAAGTATCATGGCAGAGGCCTTAGGATGTATTGCGATTGCTCAGCCAAGGTGCCGGGGCGGTTTAGCTGGCCAAGGAAACATGCCTAATAAGGGGCATTTGGGTCCAAACACGGTTTTCCACCTGACAACAAGCCTTAAGGGGATCCTCCTGCACGCGCCAAGGTATCGGCATGGCGCGCAGTTCAGGAATAAGGACAAGAAAGCACGAGCTCCTAGATGCATCAAGGTGAAGCAAGGAAAGGGCCCTGTGCAGACATGCCCTGACCATTGCATTCCCGCAAGACGAGTATCGTTGCCACACTTGCCTTGTTGCTGACGCAACGGCGGCGCCGTTTCCGCCCACGTCTTCGGGCCTCGCATGCCGTTGCGATCCTCGATCACGGCCAAGTCTTTTTGTGGGTTGGTTACCCCGTGGGAGTTGGGCCGCTGCTCCATGGACATGGGCGAGTTGCCCACGGGTAGCGCGGGCCGCACACCCACCTGAAGAAGTGGAAAGGGGTAAGGCATGCGGTGGTTCAGGCCAGGCAAGGGGCTCCGTACATGGACTGTGCATCCTCCAAACCTAGGGAACTGATTACGCCGCGGAGGCCACTACGCAGCAGCGCCAGAATGAATCACATTAAGAACCCTACGTCGTGCCTGTCTCTCGGGCCTTTTGCCCTTCTGTGCTGTTCCCTTCTCTCCCCCTTTCGAGTCCCCCTATCAACTGCCAGGGCCCTGCGGCGCAACGCACGTGGCTCGCAAGCCCATGTTCCCAAGACCCCAGAACCCGTGACTAGGTGCTGGCTCCGCGACAGTGTCAGCCCTTGCCGCCTGTATGGCCCACGGACAGCCTCACTCACAGCAAAGTAAGGGTGTTGCAACGCCTGCACTGCCGTGGGGCGCTTGTTGGGGTCCCATTGGCAGAGCTGCGTCATCAGGTCAATGGCCTCAGGACAGGCGTTGGTGATGATTTTGTTCAACGGCGTGGGAGCGAACTGCGGGAACCTGTTGATGAGGCAGCAAGTCAGGCAGGGTGGGTAGGCCGAGCAGCACCAACCAGGCTCCATCAAACCATGGGAAGCCGATCCATGCCAAAACATGGCCAATCCAGCTTTCCTGGCTGACCCTTCGCACTCCTTTCTCGTCACTACATGCCTCGAAGCCGCACAGCCGAATGTAACCTATACCCACAATCGCCCCAGCCAGAACATATCTGCTCTATTTCGCACAGCCCAAAGCATTATTCGCCCTCCTGAACCTTCTTCCCTACCCGGGGAGGCATGTTGCAGTCCACCTGAAAATCCCCAAGCCCCAATCCTGTCTCCATAGGTCCCATGCAAAAATTGCAAGGCCACAACCTCCACCCTATCAATCCACGCACTCCTCAGCTTTCCTTCTTCACCTGAAATTCATAGCTGCTGCCAGCTTGAGGCCCTCTGGCCACGTCTGCTGCGTGGGTGTGCCCATGATCGAGCAGATCTTGTATATCTCGTCAGCCTCGCTGGTCCCGGGGAACAGCGGCCGCAGCATGTAAAGTTCTGCCATAATCGCGCCCATGGCGAACAAGTCGATGGGCGCGCTATAATAGGGCGAGCGCAATAGCACCTCGGGCGCGCGATACCTGCGGCACGACACCGCGGGGAGGTCTCCTCTCCGTTTTGTTGTAGAAGTAAGGCAACGGATATACGGTATCCAACGCCTGCTTTACATTCTTGACACAAGAGCCTCTCCGTGCTTTGCCAGTGACCGGGCATAATAGTTTACATGGGCCTATCTACCCCGGTGTAAATAATTCAACGAAACTCCATACATGAAACACGGTGGCGCTGATTGAGCCCTTCTGAGCCGCGACAGCCGTCGTGTAACACAATACTCCGTCCCCACCATTGCCGTGCTCTGAAATCACCCGCCAAAACCCACCATCGCGTGGACACATAGTCCGTGTATGGCGGCCGAGATCTAATCTCCCGCGCGAGGCCAAAGTCTGCAATCTTAACGCTGTCCTTGCTCGCCAGCAAGTTCTCTGCGCACGTGAGGGGAGCCGAAACGTCCAAACAGCAGGACAGTGCACAAGGTGACCGCAGTGCTGAAAGACAACGGCACAACGGACATCCAACGGACGGGGGTTTACCGCGGCCATGCAAAACCCGCCCGACTTTGCGGTGTTGCGGTGCCTGGTAGCCCAGCCACAAGTTTAACGCTCGAATTGGAGGGTCACACAAGGTGCTGGGTCTCCCATGAGAGCTTCGATAAGTTGCTGGTTGGTGGCAACGGGGGCTCTGAGAAAGGATCACAGTAAAAAGCTGCGACGCCGGTTTTGCCGATCTTTCAGAGCAACCCGCTTGAGGACCCGCAGGGAGGTGAAACCCAGTCTGTTTTAAAAGGATGGCCCCCTGACTCAGCGCAAAGTCAACGGCCAAGCGCGAGCAGGGCTCACCCCGTACCGACAGAGCTGCCGAAGAAACCTGGTAAGCCGCGTGCGCCGAGATCCTAATAGGCTGGGCCGATCCGGTCACATGTGGGGTCTGGGAAACGACTTCAGGGTCTGGATGTGTCGTGTCCACCAGAAACCCATCGGAGCGCGCGCTGAACGACTTGGCTGCTACCCAAGAAGCCTTTCATAATGCGTTGGTGGCAGTTTGTTAATCGTCTCCCTTGCTTCAGCACTAATTTCCATTACATGCGGCCAGTAGTCCGGGACAGAAGCGTCCATGGATTGGGTGAGAGGCGGGTGCAGCACAGCGTCCCAAGGACCGCCAGTGATTCACATTATGTGACGTTTCGCTGATCGCCATAATTTGTGACCTTTGCTATGCGCTGTGGGTATATTGCTCCCGCTATTACGAAAAAGCGGAAGCTTCTCCGTTGGCCTCCCCAACTCCGCCGGCGCGCTCACGCATCTACGACCCGGTCATTGCTCTGTGCTCGCTAATGCTGAGCTGCGGGGTTCTGCTGCTGTCGCCACGTCCGTTTTCGCAAACCCCGCACGCCGCTGTCTGAGCAATCCCTTTTGGCGGCGGCGGAGACAGCTGCGACTAAATGCCCCTGCGGGTTGGTCATGGTGCTGTCCAGCGCCGGTTTAGAGTTGGCCGCTGTGAGACTGCGGCTGACGTAGCTGCCGTTGCGTGACTGGCCTCTTCCCGCTCTGTCAGCCATATCGATTATGCCGGCAACCCGCCGGGCCGCAAGGCTGTCGGGCTCGGACATCGCCGATTACATACCAGCCGGCTCAGCGAACCCGAAGGCAGACCATGGCTGCTCTTGTGAACCTACCACAATCGCTGCGCGGTCCTCCGTGGAAGCCATAGAATAATAGCCCACAGAGGTTTTGAGCATCGGGGAGGCTGTAAAGAGGTTCTGCTATTGGCCTTAAATGAGGTGGCGCGGTGTTGAAGTATAGCCACATAGCGCTGCGGAAATTTCCAAACATGGTGCATGCTTAACGCGGCCACGCTACACCAGACCAAACCGTGATGGCGCCTGCCCCGTGTGGTTGTGCTGCTGTGCGTAAACCTCAACCCAAACCTCCGCCCAGCCAACTGGCCTTCCTCCATAGGGGTGCCGACGAGCTGCGGTCGACCTGCAGCGACTGCTGCTCTGGTAATGCCTGGCTCGCGGGACAAGTGCTTTGCAGTCCGCGCATGCCATGTAAGCTGTTTGGCTGGTTACGCGCTGTCCGGTCATGTGGGCCGTAACTAAAGCAGCAGCTGCAGCAGGAAGGAAATAGGGTCCTGCGGCCCAGGCTGCCAAGTAACCCGATTTCCACCTCGAACAGTTGGCCTGTTTGTAACTGGCCATTCACACCCTAAACCCTTGGATGCCCCAGTTTCCCTCCACGCGCCAAAGCAACGCAACCCACCCGGCTTCATGTCACGGTGGAAAAAGCCATGCTTGTGGATGTAGGCCAGCCCCTGGAAGATTTGATAGCACCAGTTCCGCACACGTGACTCCGGTATAAATTTGTCGCGGTCCTTCGTAAGCTGATATACGTTACATTCCTGCATCGAAGCATCGCCAGATGCCGAGGGTGCCGAGAGGGGCAAGCGGCGAGGTTACGCACCACGAAGCGCGGTTTCATGGGGCATGCGCGTTTCCGGTGCCAGAGCTATGACACGGGCCGAAATGGGGGTTGGGTCAAAGAAGTACATCCTGCCTGCGGGAAACCGTATGTCCGGAAGCCGCATGGGAGCATCGCTGCCACTGCGTCAAAGGATTCGTTTGGCCCAGTCATAGATGGGCGTGGCACTCGATGTCCGTAGCGATGCCCAGCACCCTGTCCCTGTCTGTTAACCATGATTAGACGATGCTCCTTGGGGAACGGCGTGTGCCTGCTAGCCTGAGGCTGATAGCCTATTTGCGGCATGGCTACAGGAATGCGATGTATCCTCAGCCCCGTCCATCCTCGAGTTTTAAGCGCACAGTTGACCCGCTTCCATGCATCCCGCATGCACACATCGTAAAAAGAAGCAGACAGCCTTACCAGGTATTCAAACACGAAGAAGAGCTCGTCATTCTCACGGATGACCTCCTTCAGCTTGATAATACAGGGGTGGTTCAGCTTCCTCAGCGACTTGACCTCTCGGAGGTTCATGCACTCCTCCCACGAGTAGAACTTACGCTTCATCTTCTTAATGGCGACCTAAGCGCCGCACGGGCCCACAAGGCAAAGCCTGAGAGCAATCCCCAGGAAAGACACGGCGCCCCAGACCCGGCAGATGCACAAGTGCATCGACCGTGCCCGTGCTGCCTAACGGGTTCTAGTTCCAGTAGGCGTTTCCTTACCACTTCATTAGTCTGCCGGTTGATGGCCTTCCACACAGTCCCATACGTGCCATCCCCCAGCTGTTTCACCACTTTGTACCTGCAGAGGCCGGTGTAACCCAGGGACCACGGCCGCAGCCACAGACGCCGCAGTCAGGGTGAAGGTGGGTAAGGCCTTGGGGTGGAGGTGGGTCATGGTGCACGCACGTGGCGGATGCATTTGAGCAGCTGGGCCGCAGGCCAGCTAGCGAGGGGACGCGGACTGACCGGAGCCGCGGCCTAAGGACGAACCTGTTCATGCTGACGATACCCTACAGTGCTTCAGCATGTATTTGAAGTGTCCGACCGCGCCCGAGGGCGCAGGGTTGCGCCAGGGTAGCTCCTAGTGCATGTACGCTGAAGCTTGGCAGTCCCTTGAATATCTGGTGACGCTCATTAACAGCTACTGCAACGTGGGATACTATGCATTTGCAGGACAGCTTTTGAACGATGTCCGCTGCTTGCTCGGTCAGAGATGAGTCGGAAAGTTGCAAAGTTATGTATCAGTCCTAAAGCCTTCGGAAGATAGCAATATATATTAGCACTACATCGATGAGCTCAAACGATCGATGCCCGTGTGTTCCTAGAGCGCAGTTGCTAGTTCAGTCTCATCGTACGGCTCCAGGAGGAGTCTCCTCACACATTGAGACTTGTTGGCACATTGTGGCCCTTTCTCACCCCTTCGGAATTAGGTGTGTAGGCAACCCTCCAAAATGGCGCCTCGTCTGACCTACCGCCGGCGCCACAGCTATCACACCAAGTCTAATGCCGTCCGGATTGTGAAAACGCCAGGTGCGGCGACAAACTCTCAATTGTTATAGGCCAAGCAAATGCCTTTATGTAATAGTTCTTTCTTAGCCAACAGGCTGTTAAGCTCTTGACGCCGCACTGCAGGCGGCCGGCTGGTGTACCAATACAAGAAGAAGCAGGAGAGCCACCCCAAGTGCGCTGTCAGCGGTGCTCGGCTTCACGGCGTAAGTCCAGCGCGGCTATAGCTGGGTTTGGGCGTCAGGGTGCAATGTGGCGGCCAAAGGTTTAATCGGCGTCTATGTTGATGTATCTGGCGCGCACTTTAAATTTGTGAGTTTTCTGTCGTGGTGTTCGTTGGTAGCGTTGACTTTGTTTATGCTTGATACGGTCGCAGTTCGCGGCTGTGCCGCACACCCAGCTGCACACGCTCCCCAAGCGTGCCAAGAAGGTCAACCGCGTCTATGGCGGGCATCTGTCGCACAGGGTGGTCAAGGAGAGGTGAGGGCAATCCTTCGTTGGTGCGTCTTTCTGACCTTCTGGAGGTTTCCTTCATGCTTTGTGTATGTCGCGTGAATGGTTATGTGTGTCTCTGCATTCCTCAGGATCATCAGGGCTTTCCTCATCGAGGAGCAGAAGATCGTTAAGAAGGTAGGTATGGGTTAGTCCGGATTGTTGGGTGGTGGCCGTACGGGACGTGCGAGTGGGCTACGAGCGGGGTCATGGGCGTTATAATGTGTCGCAACCCCTCAATGGCACTCCAGTGGGCAGCTGCAGCCATGGAATCGTCGTTTTGCTGGGGCTACACCTGGTCAACATGCTGGATATGAGCGGGAGCGTCCTCGTTTTGGGTCAGCGCCAGGAACAGAATGGATATGCACTGAACACCGGCTGGAACCGTAGTTGCTCTGGAATGCCACGGCCCCTCGTGCACGGAGCTTTCACCTGGCGTTGGGTTCCGTAAAATGGGTTTCAACCTGTTTGGCCGCCAGTAAACGATTTGGGACATGCGGCATGACGTGGCCGTTTGTGAACCTAACAGTGCCCCGGAGGCAGTATTACCTTCTAGCCTGGCATACAATTCACACAAGTCTTCATATCGGGGATGTGCACAAGTACGCGGACTCGCCGTTTTACCGGTATCGCCGCTTGGGAGTTTGAAGCATCCTCGGAGCCTGTCGTACAGGAATGCAGCCAAACGGACAGAGTTGGGTGGTCACCTTGCAGTAGCCCCCTTGGGCCGTCCCGGATCGCAACTGGTTGCTGCAGCAGTACGAGCGATGTCGATTGAGCATCCTGGATAGAAACTTGGGTTAAGCTTTTTCCCACCGGCCCTAGCAGTCAGCACTTCTGCGGAGCGTTCTATGCAGCTGTCTGCGCAGCAATCTTTGGCCGTTGCCGCGTACACCCTGGGCACCTCACCTAATTTAGCACTGGAAAAGCAGAGCCGACCCTCCAATGGTCGGAGCTGAAGAGACGGTGCTACAACACCTGCAGGCGCACGCGGCTTAGGTTTGGCAACTGGAGATGCCCATCTTCGGCGTGTCTCCGCGTGCGAGTGTGACATCCTTCCTACGCTTGAATGAGCCACAAAAAGGTCGCAACAGTGCAGCATTCCTTGGGTTGGTCTCTGCAGCAGCTTGGCCACGTCCTATTCTTCCGTCTATCAGTTGCTTCAGTTGGTGTTGCCGGACAGCCATCCTGGTAGAGATAGGGGTCGGGTCTTTGTCACATAGATTCTTGCATCCTGCTTTTGCATGTACTGTGCCGCGGGGTTTCAACTTGGGACTCAATGGTTTCAGGAGTCCCAACAAATTAGGACAGTCTCCTTTGGCCTGCTCGGCCCATAAACCCGCACCGTAGTTGGCCGAAAACATGCTCCAGGCTGGGTAATAGCAGCCTTTCACAAGTGCAAATGACTCGCTCGTCAATTATTTTATAATTTCCCCTTCGCCCTTTTTTCCGCCAGGTGCTGAAGCTCCAGAAGGCTCAGGAGAAAAAGGCCGCCAAGTAAAGGATGGCTTCCGTCCAATGTTGTAACACACCTTCGGCGCTGTTCAGCCTCCTTTCCCCGGACTGCAAGGACTGACAGCTTTCTGTAGAGAACACGACATTGCCTTATGATGTCTCGGAAGGATTGGACCTCCCCGGTTCTCCTTTTCCACTCTTGGAACTGATCACGCAACTTGAAATAGGTTCCTGACGCAAGTTTCACATGTTGGACATAATCCCTGCTGGGCTTTAAATGGTATGTGGTTTATCCCCCAATATCAGCGCCCGGAGACATTTGACTGCCTCTTTTAAAACCATGTTTTGGCTCAAAAAAAGAGGAACAGTGACAGCGTACCACTCAGTACCGCGACTTTCAGCCATGGGCCACGCGTTCTATCCATCCATTTCCCCCCCCACACACACGGCTATCCGCCGTACATATATGTGCCGAAGTCGGTTATATGGACAGCACACCAACAATACTTGTCACCGGACCGTTACCGCAACTATCAGATGTCGAAAATCAAAAGCGCGACATAAATGCAAGATGCACCACAGCTCGAGAGCGCCTGTAGAAAGCATTCCGGAGGTGGAATGAGCGCTCCATTCCTCCGGTGGAATGGGGCGCTCACATGCTAAAATATAATAATCTACAAAAACACGTGGATGCGGACCTTGCAGTAGCATGGCACGCCTGCTGTTCCCTTGGACACAGGCCCACACCATGTACACACCCAATTGCCGTGCAAAGGTTACGCACCATAACGAGAAGAGGCGGCTGCCGGCGCGAACTGGCTGCTCAATCCACTGCCTTTCTGGCTGGCACGCGTCTGCACCCTGAGCCCAGATTTGATACCCCAGCGTCATAGCATCATATTCAAGGATTTCGGAAGCCCGGCGGCTGGCAGGATCAGGATCAGCGCCAAGCCTTTCGTTGCCCCATGTAGCACCACTAGAATTTATTTGCTGAGGACATCACATGAATACCCAGTGCACCTTCCTTCCAACCTTGACGTTTTAGCCTGCAGAAAGCTTCAAATCACCCGTATCACCCGCAACTAGCATTAGGCCGTTATGGAATCCTCGGCCTTTGCCTTTGCCTCCTTCCCCACTACCTCCGCCAAGAAGGCCTGTACCAGTTCAATCCCCCCAGCTACCTCCTCGCCCTCCGCACCGCCTCCCTCGCCACGTCCAGCGTTGCCGCCTGCGGCACCGCCAGCGGCCAGCAGGGGATTCCCCTGCGCCACTTCCTCCGCCAACGTATCCAGAGATGGCAGCTCGGACTGCAAAGTCCCCCCATCTTTTGGCATCTCATCCTCCGTCTCGTCGGCCTCACTTCGTCCCCAACTCACAGCCTCCAACGGCCCAAGGTCACCAGCAACGGCAGCCAAAGCAGCCGAAGCAAAAGGCTCACACGCAGCCGCGATCTGCCAGTCAGCCGACCGCTCCTCCTCGTCATCAGACGCTACTTCCGCTTCAGCACTCCGATCGATACCCTGGGTTGCGGAGCCTAGCTTCGCGGCAACGGAGGCCAATGTGCTGCTATTGCCACGATGAATCGACTTCGTGGGCAGGGCAGGGGCTTCCTGCGGGAATGAATGAGAAAGGCTCGACGCCTGCTTGGAACCTAAGTTCGTTGGCTTTGCTTGCGAACTCACCCCGGATGGTGGCCTAGATCTGGACTCCCGCATCCGAGGCTGTGCAGTGGCGGTGGAAACCGGCCTGGACCTGGGCTGGACCTGCGACGTGGTGGCAGGCAATGGCCTGGATCCAGATCTTAGCCGGGAAGATAAAGCAGATGTCAGCCTCCGTTGGGATTGACTTAATTGAGAGTGGGGAGCTTCAGCTGACGCAGCTCTAGATCCTGAGTTCATGGGCTGCAGCTGCCACGACGCGGCTGATGTGGGTTTGGGTCTGGATTGTGGATTCGGCCCCGCCAATGTGGGCCTGGATCCGGACAGTGGATCCGGAGCAGCGGATGGGGGCCTGGATCCGGATTGTGGATCCAGGGCCGCTGATGCGGGCCTGAATCCAAATTGTGGATCCAGTGCAGCCGATGCAGGCCTGGATCCGGAAGGTCGATCCGGAGCCGCTGATGGGGGCCTGGATCCGCATTGTTGTTCCAGAGCTGCAGATCCGGGCCTAGATCCAGACTGTGAATCTGGAGCTGCCGACGTGGGCCTGGCCCTGGATTGTGGATCTGGGGCCGCCGATGCGGGCTTGGATCTGAATTGTGGATTCGGCGCAGCAGATGCAGGCCTGGATCCGGACGGTCGACCCAGAACCACTGATGGGGGCCTGGATCCGCATTGTTGTTCCAGAGCTGCCGATCTGGGCCTGGATCCAGACTGTGGATCTGGAGCCGCCGACGTGGGCCTGGCCCCGGATTGTGGATCCGGAGCTGCCAATGCGGGCCTGGATCCAGATTGCGGCTTCCCACCGGCTGATGCGGGCATGGATTCAAACTTAGACGCGTGAGGTATCGAAGCAATGGCCGAGGTTGATCTCGATGCGGTTGTCAGAGGTGTTGCGGCAGAAGCTGGCCTGGACGCGATTTCCGAGGACGGGGCCTGCGGCTGGGGCTGTGGTGCGGTGGCCGTCGCTGGGCTGGTTTCAGAGGGCGCCACCAGGGTCCGAAACACGGATGAGGCGGCACTAGTTACATGGCCAGCCGCATTGCTGCCGACAACGGCAACCGCGGTAGCAGTGCCCTCCAAGCCAGCCGTCGTTACAGTGAATGTTGACGACGTGGCGGGACGCGACTGCGGCAGTGATGGCCACACGATGTTCTTGTCCGGAGTGGTCGGTGCTCCCATTGGCGACGTTGCCGGCAATGCTGGCATCAGCACGACATTTGCGACATCGGTGGCTGTGGTAGAGCTAGCGGGCCGTGACAGGCGACCGGAGGTGAAGGGGCACTGAGGGGCCCGGCTGCTGCCGCTGCTACAACGGCTTATGCCGCCCGAGGGCATATTGGGGGTTTGGGCTGGTGGCAGCACGGATGTCCCCGGGTTTGGTCGCTGGATTTGCGACCTGGCGGTCTGCAGCTGTTGCAGCTCTGAGGTGTTCTGTTCCCGCTTCTGGTGCTCCTGTTGCTGCTGCTCCTTGATGCGCTCCTCAAGCACCCAACGCTCCTCCTCCTTGGCGTCGTTATCGGTCGCAGTGAAGATGATGGTCTACGGCATGCATTGTCGGCACGGGTGCGCGAAAGGGGGATCAGAGATGGAAATGGATCCACCGACGGAACAGCTGCTGCTGCTGCTGCTGCAACGTTTAACCATGGCTGGCTGGCTGGCAATAGTACAGCAGCGCGAAGCCTAAGTACGAGTTTAGACTCTTAGCCAGGAAACGTTTGGCGTCGTTGTTAAGCCAGCCCCACAGCACGGATATATAATTTAAGAGTTACGTACGATACGGTGTTTTGGTCTCTACATGTGAATGCAAAGCAGTCGTGGCCCATGATTCACGTTGAAACTGGAGCCTTGGTGGTGGCGGCTCTCAGGACGCCCCCCTGCCCTTTTCAGGTGGGGCCGTTGACCCTCGGGGTTCACCTTAAAGGGCCGAATTTTGCCCATCACCTCTCCGATGATGGCCTGCAGGCAGCAAAACAAAGGGTAGTGGTTCAGTGTCAGGCAAGAGACGTCGATCAGAGACGAGAGAGCACACATGGCCCAACTGCTGCCTACCTCCGGCACTTCCAGTTCCCGCATAGCTGCCTCAAAGAACTCCATGCCCAGTTCGAAATCCTCGGGGCTGAATCCCCGCTGCTTGATAAGCTTGAGGTGCGCAACGCGGAGGTTCTTTCCGCCGTACGGCACGTTGGGGGGCCCAAACAGCCACATCATGAACGCGGACTGCAGCAGACGGTACGGAAGGCAGGAATTTGGTCTTTACAGGGTACCTTGCGTGGCGTGAAACAGACCTTAACGCAAATGACTGGAATTCAGCATGCGGGGCTTCAACTCCTTTCCTATTCCGGGCGTCCGTCGACATTTCCTTTAAAAACGATTTTCGTTGGTTGACCCAGATCGCCGACTTAGGTTGCGAAGACGCGGACCCACATCGCCCAATAAGACATCGCCTGTCCAAAGTAGTCCAAAGGAAATATAACCGGTATTACGAACCACGCAATGAGCAGTTTGGGCGTTTTGGCCCCGCTTGGGTGGGGTGGCGCCGCAGTTTAGGCCTCTTCGCGCCGGCCTACCTGTTTGGCACGCAAGTATGAGACGTGCGCGTCATGCAAGAAGACCAGAAGCTGCGTGGGGGTAAGGGGGGCATAGTCGGGCGCACGGATTAGTCCAGTTGAGGGGATACGGTGTGCAGGGAGGGTTACTGGAGGGCCTGCTTCCGTTCGCAGTCCCGTACCCACGCCTGTTCCTTGTCCCCATGTACACCCATTCACCCGTTCATTCAAATAGAGCTTGCGGTAAAAAGACTCGACGATTTGCTTCACGGCATCGGATCCTCCCACTCGTGCCAGCAATGGTCCGGTCGACGCGGACCGCTGCAGGAAAGGGCGGGAGAGTCGTGCGTTAATTAGGATTGTCCGCGTCCCCATGAACGGGGCAGGCACGGCGGGCATGACGCGCTTCCTGAGAAGTACCAACATGGCATCCGACTCCAGTCCTGATCTGATCTTGTGCTTTTTGCCATGCCTCGATGCTTCTAACTGCGTCTCGAACCTCTTCCTGCAGTCCAAGGGAAATTGATTTGGCTCTGCCATCGGCATTTGTCGAACGACTCTTACGCTGTGGAGAACACTTAATCGCTGTTTTTATGACAAGGCGGACGATGTCCGCAGGAAGGCTGGCAAAACATCCTGACTTGTGGACGCACCTTTGTCGCCAGGTTCGCCCAAACATCCACTACATGACTACAGTTTCCGCCCATAATTCAATAATCTACTAATACATGAGAAATATAATCTGTGCATCCGAGGGTGACTCGGTTCACCGGGGCTTTTCCTAGAACCAGGTTTTATTACTCATGCGCCAACAATTTTGGTCCCGCTGATGTTCGTCAAACTTTTGGCTGCCAGAGAGGCCTGTCATGCTCTTTTGTGCTGTGGCAGAATTCCTCAGTTTGGTGTCAGTTTTGCCGACAAGTTGTACAACACCGGGTTTTGCACGGCGTGTCCCTTGAGTAGGACCCCGGCTTTGATACCTCAACACTACGGGAGATGGATAATAATAATGCAGTTGTTGTTAGGTAAAAGCTTTCCATACAACTGTAGAGCCACACCGTGCTGGCTACAATCGCCACAGGACTGCCGCGGCAGACCGCGGCATCCATGCATGCATTTCCGAAGCGGCATGAAGCCTTATCGAATAAACATGTCTCTGCCCCAATCTTAAAGCCTAACGGGGACGCACAGTGTCGGACCCATTGACTATATCCCTGCGAGCCAGTCTGAGCACGTGTGGGCAACCTGGGATACCACCTCAGTTAGAGCCGATTGCCGCTAGACTTATATTGCTTGGAAGACCAACAATTGACAGTCTTGTCCCGGTGGTTTTGCTACCTAAGACTTGAGGTATATTCATCCTAGGAAGCATAGCTCAGGCTCCCCGGCTCTGTTCGGCGCTGTCAGGTATGTACCCATGAGCCGGCGCCCCAGCTCGGCATGCGCGCACGTTCCCTTCTCAAGGCTTACCGGAGCGAGGGAAGGATGGCGCCAAATGCCACCAGAAGATAACAAGGTGGAGTCCAAGCCATCCTTAGTCCTATGCGAGGCAAACACCTGCAAAACAGGGACCTAGGAACGCCGCCAAACCATCATCACCCTTCTGCATGGATGACTTTTGTGAATGACAGTTGTATGCCTGCCTGAATTACCGATCACTCAATCCAAACTTACCCGACATGTTGAGAGCCGACAGCCAATCAACCAAGGCACGGGCAACCCACATCACATTCATCAACATCACGGTCTTCCCCAACCAATACGTTTTCCTCAATTTTTGACAAGCCTCGCCGCGGTTCCTTTTCGAGGATCAGAAAGGCGAGGCGAAGGCCCTTGCCATTCTTCGGCTGCCTGTAGTGGTCGTAAAACACCCCCAACTGCCGACGGGTCTTAGCCCTGCGGGAGAGCTCCGTCGGACAGTAAGTTTTGCAACACGGGGCACGGACAATTCCGGGGTTAATCCATTTTTATCCACTACATGTGAAGAATCATCAACACATCACCTGTGACAACGGTATTTGTTTGATCCCAGTACGTCGGTTTGTGCGGCATTTATGCTGCTTAGCGTAGTTACGCACGACAATATAAATGCCGCACAACCGCCTGACCAATTACAGGCCACTCAACAATCGACAAGCTGTGAAGTGCAAACTGAGGAATGGGGGAAAAGCCGGGATCAACCACTCGTACTCACCCGATGCCGTACCCAACGTACGACGCCACCCAGCGAGTCGCTCTCCTGCCTCGCGCGGACTCCCTAGCTGGACGCAAGCGCGAATTACCCCCCAGTTCCAAGAGGCAAACGCCTTCAGGCTAGTCAACGCGCACTAGCTCACGACAAGGACAGTGTGGGGAAGAAAGGAGCGACGCCAGGCACACGCAAACATGGCTCCAAATCCCCTGGCATGCGAGGAAAAGCGCCGTATTGTAACTAAAAGAGTCCAAAGCAGAGAGCAGAAGAGGCAACAGAAGCGCCTTTTCACGGACGCCACCAGGGAAGACAGACAACAGACAACGACAAGTTGGGTGTCGGCTTCAAGGAAGCCGGAAAAAGGGCGGGGCCCCTCTGCATCCGTACAGGCCGGTAGCAAGGGTGGCAAGGGTGACAATTGATGGGTAGTGTCAACGCGGTGGGAGATATGCTTTGTTGCAGCAGTGCTGATGGTGTGAGAGCTAAGCTTGCACTGGCGGAATCGTCAGCACCGCCTGCGGGCTCCACGCGAATCGCATCCATTCCGGGTGCATGCCGCATGGACAGTGCGGCAGACCGCAAGTCGGAATGCCCGTGCGGGCAAATGGTAACGAAAGCTGGGTGAATTTCGGTGCTGTCTGTGATGTTTATCCCCGAAACGCCAGCGGCCTCAGCAATCTGCCCCACAGCCGCGGGGTTCATCGGGGCACACCGCAAGTCTCAGGAGGCCCCGTGCATTGGCCAAAGTAAATGTACAAACAAGGAGCTTGTGTATTTCATAGAGAAATGAAAGCAAATTATGTTGGCCTGCTGGTGGCAAGTCGGATTGCCCATGCCGGCAAATGGTAACACAAGCTGGGTGTTCGAGTTATCATACGCCGTCATCTCAGAATTCCATTGTGAGATACGCGGCAGCTTTTGGGATGAAATTTAGCGCGAGAGGCGTTGATGTGGCTTTTGAGGTCGGTGAATGGAGGCAGCTAAACTTGTTTGTGCTCATACGGTCTTTGTTAGCTACATGCGAGATACCTTGCAATAGAGAATGCTGTATAGTACCGATAACGCGTTTCAGCCGGGTGAGATATTCTGTGTGGTCCGTTACACACTCAAGGCCTGGGAGTTCGAGTTATCATACGCCGTCATCTATGAGTTCAAATATGAGATACGCGGTGCCTTTTGAGATGAAATTTAGCGCGAGAGGCGCTGATGTGACTTTGGCCTCGGTCAATTGAGGCAGCCAAACTTGTTTGTGCTCATACGATTTTTGTTGGGTACATGCGAGATACCTTGCAATAGAGAATGCTGTATAGTACCTATAACGCGTTTCAGCCGGGCGAGATATTATGTTTGGTCCGTTACACACACACACACACACACACACACACACACACACACACACACACACACACACACACACACACACACACACACACACACACACACACACACACACACACACACACACGGACATGGGCAATCCTACAGGTCGGGGCCCCCCTGGGCGCTTCGCGCTGGGGCCCCGCCCAAAAAATCCCGCGGCCAGAGGAGCCCGTATGCCACTACCGCACAATCCCACCGCTAAAAGGCCTCTCAAAACGTCAGCAAACCAAATTTTGGATGTACACCAAAACTAATGTTTTCAAGGTAATGCCGTACATATATAACGAGGAAACCTCGATGCACAGCATCATCCACATCCCCATGGGCATTCCTGCCCAATCTCGATGGTGCTGTGCACAGGAATGCACATGGGGATCTGCTGAGACGTTTTTAACAACCTCCAGCGGTACATCGCCTCGCCGATCTAGTCGCAAAATCCAGGGTACAGTGGAACCGGCGGCCCCACCCAAGACAGACATACCTACATAGGAACATCCGGACTACTGAAAAATTAAGCGATGCGCCCAAGTCGGGGAAGGTTGGAACAAATTGAGACCCGTCCTAAGCGAAAAAAATCCCTGGTCGGGACATGTGTGCCGGTCTAGGCTCTCCCACGTTCTGAAGCTGTGGCCTTGAAGGTGGGGTCAGGCATCCAGAACTGTCCAGGGAAGCTGCTGCATGCAAGCGCGCCGCCGCGGCGGCCATGTAACGCCTGTGACGGCGGGCGCCGCGCGCAAGCGGGGCCAGTTACGACCTCCCAAACACGCACACGTGTGCTTAAACTTGCGAACGCGCGAAGACAAGGCTTGCTTTGCCGTATCATAGCCAAGCGGGCGCTACCCGCCCCCCCCGTGGCAGGTTGCCGTGGCGACCGTGGCGGCTGTAAGTCAGCGCATCTAGTATTCGTATATGGTACGTAATCCTTTTGAAGACGCCGTTGTATCTTTCCAAGGACAACATGCATCATACCCAACGTTTTACCATCCAAAAAGTACGAATGCCAGCATACCCAGTGCTTAAAACCTTTTCTCATTTTGAGTAAATACACATACACACACAAACTAACAATTAACAACTAGAACTATTCATCGGGCGTGGGGGGAATGGTGGATGGTTAGCCCGTCAAGTTGCGGCATTCATCGGGTATTCCCCCCTCGTGTCCAGAGGTTGGGCGCAAACCGCAACACGCCGGTTTCCCTCTTCCCCCCCGACAAGCAAGAGCAGGGCCAACAAGGGCACCGACAAATGCAGTCACGCTTTCACTTGCGTGACACAAGACACCAGAATCAGACAAAAAAATCGTAATCGTGCAAGCGCCGCTCTCCAAAGGGCTTGTAATTTTTTCCTTCTCTTCGGCATAGACGTAGACATAATAGACATCATGGATAAATTAGTACATGCGAGCATGGCAATGGCAATTCTTTGAATAAATACCACCCCAACCCCCCAGAACGCACAAATCGTTCCTCATCACCGTGCTCGTGGACCGCGCTATAATCTAGTCACACACACACGGATTCAGCGTCAACATAAAAACAAGCACAAACCCAACGTATCAAGTCTTAAGGATAAAAGCTGCCTTTGCGTTGCAAACTGGGTGATAATGAGTGATAACAACGACGACTTCCCACATGCGCTATCCCTATCGACACCCACAATAAGGCAGTGGTTCGGCCTATGCATGGCATGCTTGGTGTGAGATGCCGTAGCCGGCTGGAAGAGACAACACAAAACTTCCATCCAAGCACCTGTTCGTGATGGTCGTGATGCAAGCCCCATCTACGCCCAGTCAGGTCATCCCCCCATGCCGCCGCGTCAGGCGGCGCCGCCTCTCACCTCATATCCACGTCCATATTTCATTCATCATAATTATTCATATGAATATTAATACGAATATTCATTCACGCCCCCACCTGCACCTGGACCCGTGTCCTTCACGAGCTTTGCTTAATTCCCAACGCACTGCCATCTCCGCCTCACGCGGACATACACGCCGCCGCCACTGCAGCCGCCTCACAGCCCAACCACACCCCATCACCTCTAACCGTCCAGCGCATCCGCCTTAGCCTGGGCTTTTTCCTTTGCCTCCTGCTCTATCATCTCCCACAGGAAAGCATCCACGAGTGCAGTACCACCTGCCGTGCCGTCGCCTGCAGCAGCTTTGCCGTCGCCGCGAGCCGCAGCGCCGCCGCCGCCGGGGGCTCTGTCGCCATTCAACGACAGCGACCCCCCCTTCGGCAGCCCAAGCTCCGCCTCCAGTGCGGCCAGTGAAAGTAACTCCCCCTGACCATTCGCGGCCGCAGCTGCGGATGTGGGCCCGTCCGTGTCCGCAGTTCGCACCTCGCCGTCCGTGGACACCGCCTTTATCTGCCTTGAAGAGCAGTTAATCTTGCCAGCCACCAGACTCATCGCCGTGGCTGCTTCTGCAACCGCGGAGGCCGCGCCGCGCCAGGGGCAGGCCGGCTGCGTTTCGCCGTCCCCGGCAGCTGCATCCAATCGTACACGCATACGCGTGCTGCTGGACTGCTCCCTTTGAGAGGACCGCTCGCCAGGAGCCCCTGCAGCTCCTGTAGGTGTGTTGCTGTTGGCACTGAAAGTACTGCTGCTGCCTGGCGGCGGCGATATTGAGCGAACAAAGGCTGAAGGATCGCATGCGATAGTGTACGACTCGATTTCGGCGCATTTGGGCAGGACCTCAATCGAGGCGGGCCGGAAGCCGCTAGTACTGCGGCCGGATGCTGGTCCGGAGCCGGGTAGGTGTGTCGGGGGCTGCGGCATGGCAGCCGAACCTGGGAGGGACACCTTAGATCCGCCCTTCGGAAGGTGGGGTAACCGCAGGCAGGAAGACGCAGGGGCAGAAGCAGCAGGTGCTGCTGCCGCGGCGATAGGAACAGCTGCTGCTGCTGCTGCTGCTGCTGCTGCTGCTGTTGCTGCTGTTACAGCAGGCCCGGCAGGAGTCGTCAGACTTACGATTCGCCCGACGGGCTGTGCGTCAGCGCTGTTCCTGCTGCTGCCCGACGGCAATGACTCGGACACGGGGCATTGCGGCGGGAAGGGCATCGTACGTGAGCTTCTTCTCCGGACCGAGCCCTCAGGCTCCGCTGGCGGCGGTGGCGTCGTCGTCGTCGTCACCGTCACACCCGCTTTTGCCGGCACCGCCAACACGTCCGCTGGCATGAACGCATCCCCCATAATTTTGAAGCCATAGGCGGCCGGGTCGGCGGCGTTGCCGCTGGCAACGTGCAACGATAACCGGCCCGATGTGAAAGGGCATTGCGGGATGCTCCCCGAGACGCAGGACGAGCTCCCCAAGGAGTTCGGCTTGGAGGAAGACGTCGGCAGCAGCTGCCTCCCTTGCTGGAACTGCTTGAAACGTTCCTCAACGCCCCATCGGAGCTCCTCCTCCTCGTCCTTGGGCGAGGGCGTGAAGATCGCGTCCTGCGGTGTGGGGGTTAACAAATCACACGCTGTGTCTGCAGGAACACACGGTGACGACGGTCAGGGCACGGCGAGGCGACAAGGTGCGAGGTAGCAGCGGCAGCCCAGTCCGGCAGGTCCGGCACCAGCGCACTGGACAGCGCGCTATGCAATCGCCCGTCACAGCCGTTCCTAAGCGGCCGTCTTCAGGCTTTTACGGACATCCTCGCACGTGTATGCGGAACTTGTAACTGGTATGTTGGTAGCAACGGCAGTTTTGCGGCAACGGCAGCGGATCTCCGGCCAGGAAACCCGTGCACATACGGTGAGGTGTAAAAGCGACCACTGGGATAGGCGAGCGGCCGCATACCGGGAGTCGCTTACCTTGAATGGGCGAACCTTGCTCATGACTTCCCGAATGGTCAGCTGCAGGTTGTCAAAGTCACAATGAAAAGCGCACACGGGTCGCAAAACACGCTGATAACATTGTTGCCGTGTTGAAAACGTTGCGTCGCGTTGAAAAATTACAATGTGCGTGGTGACTGATAGCGTGGTGACTGGTTCAGCTCTGTAAGGCCATGGCATAGGTTGCGCTATTGCAGTACGGTGCGTGATCGTACTTCACAAAAGCAGTGGCAGGCCAGTTTGCTAAGCATCATGTGCGTCCAGCCGAATGCGTCCAGATGGCGCTCGTAACATGCATGGAATTTGCCGACACAACATCATTCGAACACATGGCACCATAACACAAATTTACCCTGCGCGCTTTGTACCTTTTCATATGCACGCCGGTTTACGATGTGCATCGCACAGGAGCCCCAAAGCAAGAGCGCACACGCATCACGCATCAGCGGGATTCATAAAATAAAAGTTTTTTTGTCCCTTTTCTCTCCCCAGGGCATGCACGTTGACCTACACGCCTACGGGGTTACGTGTGGTTGCGCATTTGGGCTGCATTGCGTCGCACAGCTGCAATAGCAAATGCGTACGCTTGCTCCTCCTCCACCTCCTCTGCTACTTTTTTGCACATCATGCAATCCATCGTACCTCCGGCACTTCCAGCTCCCGCATAGCTGCCGTGAAGTACTCCATGCCCAGTTCGAAATCCTCGGGACAGAATCCCCGCTGCTTGATCAGCTTGAGGTGCGCAACGCGGAGGTTCTTTCCGCCGTACGGCACGTTGGGCGGTCCAAACAGCCAGGCCATAAAGGCGGTCTTCAAGCGAAATGGGTGGGATGGGATGGGATGGGATGGGATGGGATGGGATGGGATGGGATGGGATGGGATGGGATGGGATGGGATGGGATGGGATGGGATGGGATGGGATGGGATGGGATGGGATGGGATGGGATGGGATGGGATGGGATGGGATGGGATGGGATGGGATGGGATGGGATGGGATGGGATGGGATGGGATGGGATGGGATGGGATGGGATGGGATGGGATGGGATGGGATGGGATGGGATGGGATGGGATGGGATGGGATGGGATGGGATGGGATGGGATGGGATGGGATGGGATGGGATGGGAAGTATTAGCTCACGTAAACGGCACCTGCTAGCGGCTGAGGACCGTGGGACGCGAATGGCCCCCTTGCAAAGCAACTCTCTCGAGGGTGCTGGGGTGGACGCCTCGATATTTCCCCCAGGTACCGTCTACACAGGAGACGGCGACGGGGTCCATAACCGGAGGCAACCCAACGAGGTCTCTTGGCCTGTGCCCTGGACAAGCATAATCCCAGTGTGCCAGTTCGGTTGCTCGGTTGCTCTGCTGTTTTCTGTTTGTTCATGTGTCGTACAAGCATATATCGAGAGCCAAGGACAAGCCTCTGCTGGGAAATGTTGGGTTGCCGGGCGTCAGCAGAGGGTCCTCGCAGTAGCGGGAAGATGACCGCTTTTCGCTTCGGAAATCCACGCCTTGGCCCCCTCCCTCTTCGCCCCCTTAGACCCCTTTATCTTTATCTTTTACTTCGCCAATGTGCGCTCCCGCTCACCTGTCTAGCGCGCAGATACACCATTTCCTTGTCGTGTAGATAGACCAGCAGCTGTCAGAGGAGGCAAGAAATGAGGTCGCACGGGCGTCACGGGCGTCACGGTCAGAAGCGGATCGCGGCTATTGTAAACCAGCTGCTACGCCGCTGTTTGTGCGGGGCCTTCAGACCCGACACAGACCCTACCGGCCTACCGTTGGGTCGGAGTAGAGTCGGCGGTAAAACCCCTCCACGATTTGCTTGACGACACCCAGACCTCCCACTCGCTGGAACAAGGGGCCCGTTTGGAGAGTCGACCGCTGCACGGCGGAAGGCGCAAGGACAGGGTATTAGCTCTTGTCGAGGGGAGGAAGAAGAGCTCTTGTCGTTCATGTGCTTTGTTGGCACCCATGCGTTACATCGCACAGGTGGTGGGGGCGAGAAGGAAGAAGGGGGCCTGTCCAGTGCGGAGTTCAGTGAAAAGCGGGGGCCTGCTGGTGGTGTGAAACTTACTGGGCCGGCGCCGCCCGTGTTCAGAGTGCGTTCCTGTACTCTGTTCCACTCGTTGAAGCTTTTCACCGCGTCACGAATCTCGTCCTGCAATTCCAGACAACGCAACCATAGCGGGACAGCGCGAACACGGCCAAGTGGACGCGGTCTGGTCCGAATTTCGCGGAAATAATTCGTCAAAGGAGTCAGGACTTCTGTGCATCCGCCGGGGAGCGTACGATGCTAAGCGGTACTCAGGAGCTAGGACAGAGTGCCTACCTCGGTCGCCAAGTTCGCCAGGACGTCCGCGGCGTGACTGCAGCTGCTGCCCATGTTGTCAATTGAGCCTGTCCTTTGTCAGTTGGAAGTATCTCCGCAGACGGGGATGGTCTTGTTCAACATCCCACATCACCACCACACAGTAAGGGTGACACTATACCGTCGGCGTATAATTACCACGGGCAAACCGCATACTAAGCACAATGTCGCGCCGACCTATCGTTTCCACGCTGGACTGTACCGGCGTATGCGCCACGTACCGTACTTCAGTTTTGCACCCGTGGCTGGCATGTGTTCCCAGATGCCTGGGAAACCGCCTGCAATTCTGAGAACTTGAAGCATGCATCCTTCCCCTTGAAAAACTCGTTCGGTAGGACGTTGGGAAGTGGGTAACGCTGCGTAACCGACGAGTCGAAAGTTTCCGGAACAACCGACGTTACAAAATTTAGGTGGAAAACAAGTTCGTTAACTGGCAGTTACTTACAAGCATATTGAGTGTTGTATGAGGGCTGTCGGGAGCTGCGGAATCTACGGAAAAGTGGAAACCTTGCACACTTGGTCAAGCTGAACCCTACGGAACGGCACATAGATGGTTATACTGCCCTGAAATATATTGTATATTTACTTTACGGGTTACATACTTGGTATTTTGTAACCTGATTTTGTTTGCAGCACAGAATTTGTGCGCCAGCTAGGCATCACAATCACCAAAGCCTAAGGAATGAGTGTTTCTTCTCTCCGAACATGCCCAATGGGTATGCAAAGCCCTCGGCTTGTTTCAGCTGCGGGGAGGAGGACGGTGGTGGTGGTCCGCGCGGCAGGTACACCCAACGCAGTGGCACAGGTTAAAAAGGTATGTAAGCATTACATTTCCATCCTTATTGCAGCTTGAACTAACATTAGGGAACCGTAGGACCCATTCGCAGAGAAGACCACCTACAATGACAACTGGTTGGACAAGCTTTTCATTAAACTCTACTCCAAGAAAATGGCGGATCAGCTGGAAGGTCAGCCTGTGACCTCCGCGCTGAAGAACTCGCTTGCGGACCAGGCGTGGGGTCAGGGTTTTGACACGGACATCTGGGGACTCGGCTCACTTGCTTGGGGCAGCACAACAGCCTGTATACATTGTCCCTTCCTGAGATAAGATTCATTTAGCACCCAGAGCTGTTGTTCGTGATCGACAACTCCATAGTCGCTGGCCACTACTGCTTAACGTGCCTAACAGCATTCAAACGCCCGCCATTTATAGCCGCCGAAGAATGAGCTTTATTGGCACCTCGCGATACCCACGCTCAGCCGGCCATCAGGCCCCTGTGCATGCCCTATCCGCCGCTTGATCCACCTCACTTCCCGCTGACCCACGTCAGGCGTCGCGGTGCCGGAGAAGCCGACATATGATGATTTCGTACGAATTTCCAGTGAAATCATGAAGGGTCGCAACAGCGTGCAGCAGCGCGTGGTGGTGCGGGATGTGCTCATGTCTCTGCTGCCCCCAGAGGCGCCGCCTGCGTTCAGGTGGGACTTCTCCTCTGAAAGGGGACTGCCGCGGCTAGGACTGCACAGCTTGTGGGCGTGGTGGCCTGGGTTTCCCACTTCCCTGGCACAAAAGCACCGGGTGACTGACGCACCATCAGCAAGCCATGCACAAGGTTTGGTGGAGAGGGGGCACTTTCCTCCCGTACCCATTCTCGACACAGACGCCATCAAACGTCAGACGCATAAATCGCTTGCGACCCCGAAACACAAGAACGGACGCAACGTAACGCACGATGGCATGGCGGCGCGGCAGCACCTGGCGGTCGTCCTTTCCTCACATACACTTTGTGCAATCCATGCCGTTGCCGCCGTGGGCCCTCGTCCCCTCGCAGGAAGCTGTTCCCACCCACGCAGTTTTCAGCAGAGTTCAACGCGCTGATTGCATCGTTGGGCTTCTACTGGCTGGTCGGCGAGAGCGAGGTCAAGGAAGATGATGTCGTGGTGAGGGTCGAGCATTTGAAGATCCGATGAGGGGTGACGCAATGCGGCGAATGCACGTCAAGCAAGGAAGGGGGGAGGGCAGCCGTCAATGATGGAAGCGCCCATGTGTTCCGGAGCACGTGGGAGAAAATTTAGCCGCGGAGGAGTCATTGCCAGGTGTCCGCCACAACAACAGTCATGATCGCCTGAGCCCCCTGTTTGCCGGTTCCTGTCCCTTACCGGCGATGCCGTCAGGTTGGTCCCAACGGTGAGAAGAGGAGGCAACGATCCGTTGTGCAGATCAAGAAGTGTCGCTATCTGGAGAGCAGCGGCTGCGTGGGAATGTGCGTCAACATGTGTAAGGTGAGGGACGGATGTCGCACAGCTCCCCCGCCCAGATTGTTTATGTCGTCGCCAGCGCTAGGCAGCTGCGGGAGCGGCAACCCGGGATCATGCCCACTGCCACTACATGGATCTAGGGAGCGGAGGAGAGGAGGAAAGCCAGTTGCTGTGTCGGCCACAGGCTCTGAGTCCTGCGCGAAGGGGCCTCCACCAGCCAGCTGCCGCTGGGATACCGCCACCAACGCAGACCTCCGTCGAGCTACGCCCTGGACTGTTGCTCCGTTCCCATGCCCCCCCTCTCGGCCTCCCCATTGCGGCCCTCCACCGTGGTAACCCCGCAACCCGCACTTTTACCCCTTACGTATTACCCCCTCGGTCCGCAACTCGCAGATCCCGACACAGACCTTTTTCACGGATGAGTTTGGCCTGCCGCTGACCATGAATCCCAACTTCGAGGACCTGTCCTGCTCCATGATCTTCGGCCAGGCGCCTCCACCCATGACTGAGGACCCCGCCTATACGCAGCCCTGCTTCGCGGTGCAGTGTAGCATCGCGGCGGGCCGTACGGACGGCAGCACGCCGCCGCCGTGCCCCAAGGTGGACACGGAGCGGGGCAAGTCTGTCCCACAAAACGTTTAAGAAGGATGTACCAGCGAGGTGCGGCAGCGAGGTGCTCAGCAGCAGAGGACTTCCACCTAGCGCCTGAGGGCAGCTGACGGGAGAGGGCTAGGGGAAAGGCTGTGGCAGCGAACAGAAACGGACATGCGTCTCACGCGCAATCGTGTGGGAGAGCGCAGGTAGGTGTTGCGTAGTGCGTGTCTGACAGCATGCAGCTGAGATCCGCGCAGACGCGAGATGAGCAGCGCGATGCAGGAGTGGAGCCTTAGCAGCAGAAATGGACAGTGTTTGAAGTTAGATGTCGCGTCCGTGAAATCCCGGGGGGGGGGCTGAGCCATGGAGTATCTGACAAATGTGCTTCGAGTGGATTGATAAAAGGGCCCTGTTCCTGCGGCGGGTGGATTTCATCATTGTGCGGTGAAAGCGATCTCTTTCCGAGCAGAGAACCATGTATTTGAAGACACGTGGACAGCGATTATGGAGTGCTGTAAGGGCTGGGACTCGCCCTTTCCAGGCTGCCCAATATTGTTGACGGAGCGGACGGCTGCAGCGGATCCCGAGGGTCGTGTCTTTGCGAGGAACGAGCGTATGCTAGGAGAGAAAGAAGTCAGCTGGTCGCCTGGTAGCGTGCGCTCTGGCGAGCTTATGTATGTATATGCAGCCTCTAGGGCGTATTTGGTGGGGTCGTACGTACACGGCACCGCTGATCCCACCTCCTCTTCGACGGGGGGTTGGGTTTGCCTGTTGGATGTGCCAGTCTGCGAGCGCCCTGGTTAAACCTTTTGTCTAGAGCTCTGGTTTGTCCAAGTAGGGAACTGGGTGTCCAATCTTCAGTCGCCACCTGTCAATAGGGCGTTATAGAGGCAGTGGAGCGTGCGAGCCGCATTCGGACCACTCTTTCACTTGAACGTGTACCGCCAGCTGCGCACTTCAACTGTGGCGCACGGGGCATCTAACTCTGATTGCGCGCTGCATGTAATTCTTGGCAGACAGGCTAGAAGTGCCTCGCTGTAATAAAGGTAGCAGCGGACCGCACGGTTACAGAGACAGCCTGCGACTTGACCGTGGTGAGCTCAGAACCCAACACACACCGTGTGGAAGTTTCTTGGATGTGAGTATGAGTTAATTCAGCGCGCAATGTGCTCAGTGGCGAAGTCCGAAGAGCTGCTTCCCATCCAGTTTGCCCTCCTCTGCCCCGCGTGGGGCGTAGAATGGGGATAATCCCGTTCCCTTACAGTGTAAGGGTAAGTCACGTGCCATACTGAGGGCCGTAGGAACCGAAAGGTGCAGTATCGGCATCGACACGTCCAGATGTAATGTGTGGACCCATGCTACGTAAGACTGTCGCACGAGTCCGCTTCGTATGCTATATGCTGTTGAGGACGCGTGCCTCTGGTCTGCGCCTCGATACAGAACCCCACATCGTTTGTCCGAACAGGTCCCTTACCTTCGCCACGTAACAAAAAAACCGGATCGTCTGCGTCGCATGCATGCACCAGCGATTGCCGTAAAGGCGGTTATGGTAAACTGGTGAGAGAGGTACGCAGACTCTAGTTGCAGTGGGCACAGCGACCTCCGCCACATCAACCGCCACGTGCTAGGTGTAAAATGAAGGCGACGGAAACGTCCACTGGGCAAGGTACCACAAAGTAGGTTTTAGATCTGAGGTGCGGCTTGATGCGTCAGCGAGGTTGCAGTTCCCATCGACTCGCTTTGCAATGGCAGTGCGGTAATGAAAGGCGAGGCACCGCGCAGGGTTACGAGCATCGGGCGACCCCAGCAACTTTTTAGGGACGTGGAAAGTTTCGATTCGCGTTCGCATGACTTAGATGGGGCAAAGGGTACCGTTGTGCACTCCTTAAAGCAGCAAGTGCTCATCGGGCCAGGTCGGGCTGACTATGCGTAAAGTCATGCATGTCATGCAGTCATGCATCGCCTCCCAGTAAGGAAGCACTGAATTATGCTTATCAAAGAAGTGCGCCGTTTTCTGCGACTGACCGATTGCGAGCTTATTGCAGAAATACATACAAGCCACATCACGCGGCATAGAGCGGCATTGAGGGGACTGGGTTGGAGCTCTGTTCAACTCCCGGCCTTCATGTAAAGCAAGATTACAGAAAGAAGCATAATTCATAGTGCATGTATAATGCACGAGGTACGACTTACTAAATACGAGCCTAACACGGACAGTGAAAGCTGCTGTCAGCAGTTCCTTGACAGGTTCTGACTAAGGTTCAGAACATCCAGGGCCCGGTTCAGCAGGCTGTAGATATACAATCAATGAAAATACCATACAAAAGCTAAATCCATGATTGCAAGGGTGATTCAGTTAGCTTCGCGAGGTGTGCCGTGTACGGAGTAATTCGCTGCATTCTACCGTGGCCAATTTTTATAGTTTCTTGGTAATCCTGTCACACACTTAAGAGCTATTAACATACTGCTAATCTTTTAATCAATAACTCTGGATTACCTGAACCCATGGCCAGATAAATATGACAGATGCCTCCAGGACACGATTAGGCAAATACAGTAATTCAAGTTTGTATATGTGGTAATTTATTTTAAGGCAAAATAGGCCATACAGCTGTACTAATGTTTATCTTAGCTTCGTACTTTCACGCTCTCCTGATACACTTGTACTTCCGAGGCCAAGCTTTTAAAGCTTTCAGGGACTAATTTAGATTATTTGTAATCATTCTGTTTCCAACCGTGTCCATAGACACAACCGGTGGAGCTTCTGCCGCAACCCATGGGGAATGGTTGCAGTCAGTTTGTGGACTTCTGGGTCCACACAGCAACAACGGTGGGAAGCTTGCCTAATTTAGTCCAACTTGACTACCAAGGTTTTCTGAAATGTATTGTCGCGCGTCCAATCACTCCACCTGCAAACCGGAAGCGTGGCCAACATGCAGATTGTTGTGCAACATAGCACGCACGATGTAAAAATCACAAGAGCTGTCTAGCATGTCACAATGTGCATCTAGTTTGCAGTGGAGCTGGTAGGCTGCTGACGGGAAGGTCTGGAAACCGAGCTTCGCTTACACTGCCTGCAGGAGGATGTACAAAATGCAGCGCGAAGTATTGAGGCTTGGCAGAAGGCTCAAGACCTTAACCGCGGTGGTGGAGGTGCGCAGGTAGGCAGGGACTCCTCACCGTACTACTCTGTTTCATCCCCCAACCAGTGCGCCGCAGCCCAGCAGAACTGTACTCACATCAAAGACATAATTGCGATCCGTAATTTTCTCAGTGCGGACTGCTTTGTCTGTTTTAAATCCTTTGACTAACGTGTGCGCCTCGGGCTCTACTCACAGCACCACGCTGGCGCGCTTCTCTACCGTCTAGGAGGCGCGGATGTCGTCAAACGAATCGTGGAAGCTTTTTATCGGAGACTTTACGCCAACGAGCGGGTGGGTTGTGGGACTGGACGGCGCATCGGGGTAGCAGCCCCCAGCGCTTTGCAGCTAGGCAAAGCACCTGCGCCACGATATACTGCCCCACGGCTAAGCTGGGCTTACATTGCTAAGCCAGCTAAGACACAGTTCCCTCCAAAAGCAGATGCAATATCTGACCACCAGGACCGGCCCAGGCTCACGCAGTTCATTTGTAACCGGTAACATTACAGACATGGCGAATGAAGTACATGGGGCCGCTATGCGTGTGGTCCACCGACGCTTCCACAATTGTTCGGAGGACGATTAGCCTCTACTTGAACATGGAGGCGTGAGGGCAGGGAGGGATGTGTGCAGGGGAGGCGTGAATGCAGGGAGGGATGTGATGTGGACTCAAAGCCATCACGTACCCCTGTATTGTATGCTTAGGGCTCATAACTACCAGTATCGCAGCTGGCCCTTTGCGCTGCACCCTGTCTTGATCCTCCCGCCATCACTGACTGCTCGCCTCCCCCTGCGGCGGCCCATCGCCCATGCTGTCCTCCCCATGCGGCCCATCCAGTTACTGCTGTTCTTACACGACAAAGACGTCATCTCCTTGCGAGCAAAGCAGGTGAGCTGCAGGATTCATAAACCCGGCCAGGGCTGGCCAGGGCAGGGGAAGGCAAGGAAGGGTTCGAACCACGTAAGCATGGGAGGATCGTTTCCTATCGCCTGGAACGTTTGGCTGAATCCTGTCTAGCGGCTCTTGCCACGTCAGACTCCTCGTACGCACGTGCTTTGTCGGAGCTACAATCGTGTGCCGCGAGAGCTCCCTGAAGCGATGCCTGCAACTGTTGTTCACTTTTCAAGAATTGTGAATCAAAATTCCACCGGGGCTCCGGATGTGAAGGGTGTCGGCGGGCTGGACCATGGGCCCGCCCGGCTTTCCTAGCGGCCCCCTCAAGAGGGGTTTTACCATGAGAGGGCTTGTGCATGTGTGCAGCTCCCACGGGTCTTTAGCTGGTGCCCTGCGGCACGTGCCCGCCCCATCTCCCGCTCCTCAGGCCGCCTTCATGTCGTGGCTGTTCGGGCCGCCCAACCAGTCCTACTCTGGCAAGAACCTCCGCATCGCGCACCTGCGCCTGATTAAGCAACGCGGTTTCAGTCCGGAGGACTTCGAGGTGGGGCTGGTCTACTTCGCTGACGCCATGAGGGAGCTGGGCTCGCCTGAGGTGAGACAAGGCTGCAGTAAGAGTCAAAGAGTTCGTAAAGATTATAAAACTTGCCTTGGCTGCGATCTCGCCTTTTGGTGGCCCTTTGTCCTGCCTGGTTGCCTGGCTGCCTACCTACCTGCCTCCTGCCTGCCTGCCTTTCTGCCTGGCTGCCTGTCCTAACACCAGGCCATTGTCAGCGAGGTCATGTCCAAGATGCGTCCCTTCAAGGTGAGTCGACAAACGTTGATTCAGAGATGTCGGCTGCTGTTTGGCTGCTAGTGCTGCTTGACTGCTACCGGGTATTGGCAACGACTTGCGCCGTTGAGACGAGATGAGACGAGACCAGGCGCTGGGGGTATCAGCGGCTGCCTTTGCAATCGGCGTGGGTAGACAGGGTTGATGGGCTGCCTAGAGGCGGAGATAGCGTCCGTGAGCCCGTTAAGTGCCTCCTGTTTTGCGGTGGCGGCGGAACACACATAGCCACGGAGATAGGCGGAATACGGTTCCTCAGCTTAAATGCCTACTATGATGCGGCGCTTGGCGGGACACAGCATGATAGGGGGTAATTTCGTATACGGCACGCACGGGAGACTGCTACTGCCGCCGCCGCCGCCGCCGCCGTCGTTGCCGCCACTGCAGGACGTCATCTTCACACCCAGCGCTCGCGACGCTGAGGAGGAGGCGCGATGGATCATCGAGGAGCGCGCCAAGGAGGAGGCACGGCAGCAGAATCTGCAACAGCAACAACAGCAGCAATCAATGTCAAATGCCGCCGCGGCGGCCCCTGCGGCAGCTGCAGTAGCCATGACGGCGGCCAAAAACACTGGCGCTGCAAATGGCGGCACCCTCAGTAACAGCCGTACGGGCTCGTCCAGGACGCCGCAGTGCCCCTTCACCGGAGGTCGCCTGTCGCGTCCGACCAGCGCCGGCGCCGGCGGCGATGATGGCGGCCGCGGCGGCAACGCTACGGCAGCGGCTGAAAAGGACCCCATTAGGGCGGCCAAGGCTGAGGTCTTGCAGGTATCAGCACCGCCAACGCCGCCGCCAGCGACGCCGCCAGCGCCGCCGCTGGTTACCTCCGCCGCGCAGCTTTCCACAGGCTCCCAATCCGGAGCCGCTGCAGCTGTGGGCACCGCTGAGGCGCCGCTGGGTGCGGCGTCCTTGGCAATGGCAGCCGCTTTGAGCGCTGCGAGATGTTCGGTTGACGAAGCAGCGGTGCCGATGCTGCCGCCGCCGCCAGCGGCGGGGCCCTGTACCTCGTACAGGGTCTCCCGCCAGTCCTCCCGCCAGGCTCCACTTGCAGCCGCCGTCAGTGACGCTACTGCCGCCACGCCGCGGGCAGTAGCAGCGCCTCAGGTGTCGCCACAGGCCGCAGCTGCGGTTGACAGCGGTCCACAGCAAACTGCAACTTCGGTGGATCAGACGCCGCCGCCGCCGCCAGCAGCAGCGGCGGCAGTGGGGCCAGCAGCAACAACCCCGGTGGCCGGCCTGCCGCCCGCCACGCAGAGCGGTGGCGGAGGCACCAACACGATCCCCATGCAGGCCTCTGCACGGCACAGCGTCACGAACAACGAAGATGCCGACACGACCCAGGTGGATGAAGTCGACGTGTTTCTAAGCGAGGTGTTTCCTGCGCAGAAGCAGCGCACGGAATCGCGGGTGCTGGTGGAAGAGGCGCTGGCGGAGCTGGGGTCGCGCGATAAGGCACCGCCGGCCGGTGGCGGCGGCGGCGGCGGCCCTGGCGGCAGCGGTGGTGCTGTAACGTTGCCGCCGCCGGCAGTCATAGCGGGGAGCAGCGCTACGGCCGCTGTGTCTACCACCGATACAGGCGTTGTAGCTGTTGCTGGCGGGGGCCCCGCTGCCGCCACCGCTATCAGCCGCATTGGCACACCCCTGGTTGGCGTCCAGCGTCCACTGACGGCGGCTCTGGCGGCTGCTCCGCCGCCGCTGCGCAGCGGCACACCGTTAGTGGGATCTGAACGGGCGGAGGCGAACCCCCCTGTAGCAGCTGTGCGGGTGCCGCCTCCGCCGTCCGTAGCACCGCGTAGTGGGACTCCGCTGGCGGCGGCACTGAGGGGGCCGACGGATCCGGGGTTCGCAGCCGCCGCCGTCGCTGCCACTCCAGCTCCAGCTGCCGCCGCCGTCGTTCCCGCGCCGGCATCTGCTAGCGAACCCGCGCGAGTCCCAACACCCGTCGCCGCCGCCCCATCGGTCGCCGCCGCTGCAGCCCTAGCTCTGCAGTCCCCGGGTGCGGCCGCTGCACCAGCGTCGGCGCTCGCCACTCCAGCACCTGCCGCCGCGGCCCCGGCTCCGGCATCCGCCCACGCGCCTTCCAATCCTGCCGCCGCCGCTGCCGTTCAGACTCCAAGGCCAGCCGCCGCTGCCGCCGCCACCGCTCTGGCTCCAGCACCTGCCGCCACCGCCACCACCCTGTCTTCTGCCGTCCCCGCCCCGGCTGCTCCCGCTGCCTCCACCTCTGCCGCCGCAGCGGCTGGCCCCCCTCCAAACCGCCTAGGCATAGCTCAGCTGGGGCGCCGACCCGAGGCCATCGCGCCCCCGGCTCGGGCCATCGCGCCCCCGGCTCGGGCCATCAAGGCCCCGCCGGGGCCCCCGGCGGCGGGTGGCCCCGGATGGGGGCGACCGAACCAAAAGGGCAAGCGGCGCTGAAGGGGATCTGGCGGGCGGAAGGCGGTGGGCAGAAGGCCTCTTTGCCGAGTGGATGTGAACGCGGGTGAATAGCACACGCTGGCGCCCTCTCGCGCGCGATTTCAATCACAGGTGCACCCAACGCCATAATGCAGCTCGTGTGATTGGGGTTCGATTCCTGCTCCAGGCAGCGCTCTGCTCCGGGGTAAGAAGGAGGGGAGGGGAGTGTAGTGTAAGGTCTGTTACCTCGGGAGCTGCTCCCCGATCCCCAGCTGACTGACTGACTGACTGACAGACACAGTCTCCCGTCAAGTGGGGAGGGTGCATGGATGCATGACGGCCGGGTAAACGGCCACAGGAGTGGGGCTCGACTTCCCCGGTGGGGCAGCTGCCGGTGGCATCCCCTGCCGTCTAGGTGGCCTGGCGTGATTTGATGAGGTGCTGCATCATCGCATCTCTCCTCTCTCCACGTCGTATATTATATATATGTACATATATATGTATGTATATATGTATGTACGTGTGTATTCCTGGCCCATATTGGCCAATGCGCAAGTCTGTCTTTGCCGGGTGCGATGGAATCGCAATCAGCTTCAGGCGGGCAGGCGGATGAATATACTGTGGTGTATACACGGCACGTCCCTGGCCTCCGCCGGTGCCGGTTGTTGCCAAATTAGGAACCTATTTCCTGCTGGGTTTCCAGCCCGCGGGCCCCTCCCTCCTCTTCGGGGGGCATAACCGGATCCCGGTGCCCCTCCGCGACTCTCCAGCTTCACAGACACAAATACAGGCCGCTCCCAAGCAATCTTGGGGGCCTGGCACGGGGGAAAATAGGCCTTATAGGCCTAGTAATGTACGACAAGGAGGGGTGCCACCTGCTGGCTGACTAATAAATGTACGGCCTGCGCCGCCATGACTTGCGGCTTGAGGTCCTTATTGCGTACGGAGGAATCGAACGCCGCCAAACTTGCGGCTATAGCCTTGAAGGATGGGAAGCATGGTAGAAGCCTCGTCTGTGTTTGGGTGTTTGCGTTTATGTTGCTGGTTCTGATGGGGAGGAGCCCGGGGACAGTGCGGTTTGGGAAGTGTGCGTGTACCGTTACCGTTGGTGGTTATTAGATGGTTGGTTTTGGAGGGAAGCGCATTCGAACGCTCGCACACGCACAGGCATGCGCAGGTGGGAACGGCCTGAAGCAGAAGAGGCTGCCTGTTTTGATATTTTATTTGCTTTATAGCTGCCATCAAGGTTGTTGTTGTTTGTCCTTTCTGCGAATTCGTTTTTGGGAGGGGCTGGTAATCCAGACGAATAGCACGGTACCATCGAGCAGTGCTTTATAGAAGTTGAGGAAAAGTGTGCATACATACATACATGTATGTATATGTTGGATGCCGGCGGTGGGTGCGGAAACTGAGCGATCCACTGAGAAGTTGACTAGGGTGACTGGATGAGGGTGTCCCGAATATTGGGAAGGCAGGGTCTGCCGCAGGGTGAAGATATGGCCCCCTGTCCTACACATCGTATGTATATATGTATATTGAGGTCACGTCGTATATACATACACATATTTAGGTATACACATGCATACATATGGTATATGTACGTACGTATATGTATATACATATTCATATAAACAGGCAGGCAGGCGGCTGGCAGAGGTTAAGGCCTGACTTCTGCTCCCAGTTGACCCAGTCGACCCGGGTTCAAATCCGCCTGCCGGCTCCTCGGGTGTTTGAGGAGTGATGAAATGGGAGGTGGCCCCCCATCTTATGGACGGTGTAGGACGTGATAATATCAACTTGCGAGCTGACCAGGAACTAAGTTGATGCGCCGTTGATCCGCTAGATTTGGTTGGATGCTGGTGGTGAGTTGCCGAACCCAACGAATACATTCTGAAGTCGGATGGGGTGACGGATTAGGGTGCCCCTCTAGCAGGGGAGAGCAGGGACTGCCCCGGGAAAGGGGGCCGCTGGCGAAGTTAACCACCCTGTAACAACATATAAACACATATGTGTGTGTATTTCGGCAGACTTGACGTGACCTCGATGCGGTCTGATATCACCAGAGCTAAAAGCAGCTCGGGCCGGTTGCCAAGGCGACAGAACCACTAGCAGCGCTTTCGGGGGAGAGAGGGAAGGAGGGAAGGAGAGGATTTTTGTGCGGTCAATGGATTCGTATCATTGTCGCGCGGCCGTGCAGAGGCCCTGGGCACTGGAGGTTAGCAAGCTCCCCCTCCTTTTCATGGCGCATGCCATCCTCCGCATGCAGTGCCGTATTGGAGGAGTTACTACAGCTCATCAGCTGGTGCACGACACAATGCGGATTGCTGGACCCGCTTATAAAGGGTTGCTGCCTCGGGGGAGAGCCACCGCGGAAAGGAATCAGTACGACTGTTGCGGTACACCAACGTGGCACAGCCGCGTTGTCGGGAAGACCTTGCATACATGCGTCAAGGGCACATGATGACATGATGACATGACATCATGTTTTGACATGATGCGCTGTATAATATCTGCTGTTGACAAACTCATCAAAAGTAGCTGCAGGTCGAAACATATCATCTGAACCTAGAGGCTCGTCAGCAATCGCGCTCTCGTGTATGTCGGTTGCGAAACGGCACCAATCGACGCCATCTGCGGGTGCCTAATGACTCGGCACAACTTGTGATTTAGTACGGCATTTCCGTACAGGTCTGTATGTGCACGACACACGGAGGCCAAAGCCAGACGGGCGTGCGTTATTTTTACCAAGATATAAACGATGCGGTCATATGAGCGACGTGGTGTGAACACCGCATGTGTACGCATGTATGTATGTATGTATGTATGTATGTATGTATGTATGTATGTATGTATGTATGTATGTATGTATGTATGTATGTATGTATGTATGTATGTATGTATGTATGTATGTATGTATGACTTAGATTACACTGTGGGCCGCGAGAGCCGGGGGCCGAAGCCGAAACACAGCGCAAGGGTCGGGAGCACACAGCACAAGTCGGTTAGTCTTGTGTGCTCCCGACCCCGACTCAGACTGCCAACACTCTACGCAGCCACTCCGCAGCCCCTCCATCCGGGGATGGCGCTGCATTGAATACACCACGAAGGGTTCTCAGGTCCCGCTAGGGCGAGTCCACAAGTCTCAGCTAGGGCAAAGTCAAAGGCTCTCTGAAACAACCCCCCAAAACACCACCAACGAAAACGGGATTCGAAGGGAAAACAAACAAACAACTAAAAGTTGGGTTAGGGCAGTCCCGGCAGGGGGGGGCTCCTGATATACCTAACAGGCCAACAAAAAACCTCCAAGAGAGAAAGGCTAAGAGAGCTCGACACCACAAGACGTCTTGCAACCACCTTAAAACAACTGACCTCCACCACCTGTCCCTGTATGTATGTATGTATGTATGTATGTATGTATGTATGTATGTATGTATGTATGTATGTATGTATGTATGTATGTATGTATGTATGTATGTGTCGGGAGAAAATGGGGATAGAAGCGCTTTTTTCGTGTTAGGGTTAGGGGAGGCTGTTCAGCTAGTTGCGTGGTTCAACCTCCTGGTGGGTTATCACTCCTTTACCTTCTGGTAATGAGATCCGGCGTATTCAACTTGTGTGCGATGCGGCCCACACATCAGAGTGGCCTCGGTCGGCTGGATGGTGGAACGGTCGAGTGCGCCGGGGTTGGGGATTCCCGCGGTTCGCTCCCAGGGATTAAATACTCTTGATCTTACACGTCGTACACTTCGTACGGCAGCGACACGTGAGGGAGATAGACGGTGGTTTGGTTGACGCGTGTCGGCCACCACGCCATTGCGTGAGTAATCGAATGAATGTTGTCGGGGGAATATATAGACATGCACATATATATATGTGTGTGTGTGTGTCCCTCGGCCATAAGAGAGAGGGTGGAAGCACCTCCATGCCGATGGACGGCGATGGACCAACCCGGTTATAGTGAGAGAGACCTGCGAGTCGACTAGGCGGGGAGTTGTCGCCTAAAAAGTCACTGACTTCGCAAAAGCCGACATGGGTGAGAAGGCTGAGTGTGCCCCAAACTTCGAGGAAGGTGCTAGGGGGACTGCCAGCAGGCTAGTGAAGCTTTACCCAGCTAATGCTTCACACTATTTTACATCTGGACAAGACATATATACATATGGACAAGACTGGCTTCCTTGAGGAGCAGGCTCCGTGGGCGCTTGGGGTGGGCCAGGGTTGGCTGGGCTTAACCGGGCGTACCTTGCTAGATGCAGGCGGCGTTTTTGGTGTTGTGTACGCGTTGCGTGTTTACGTTGAGCTGGGGCGCTAGAAGAAGGAAGCGCTGAGGATGGCCGACGAGCAGCGCTACCGAAGTAAGCAGTCCTGCGAGGAATAAAGTAGTGCGCCCGCCCTCATCACCACACGCACCACATCTCCACGTTGGCTGCGCCAGATTCAGGTGATGCTCATAAGCATGAATGTGTTTTCCACCCGGTAACGCCTGGCATGCGTGTATGTATGATGTGTGTATGATGTGTGAAACAGGGGGGTGTATCTTCGCCCGTGGCAGCTACCCTGCGAAACCCTGCCTTCCCCGGTATTTCGGGGCACCCTCATCCAGTCACCCTAGTCAACTTCTCAGTGGATCGCTCAGGTTCCGCACCCACCACCAGCATCCAACGGAATCTGCCGGGTCGACAGCGGCCCAACTCCATTCCTGGTCGGCTCGCAGGTTAACTTTATCCCAGGTCACCACCGTCCATCAACTAGGGGCGCAATGCCTTCCACCATCGGAAGGACTTTTGACCCTAATGGGTATCGATCCCGGGATCTCCCGGGGGCAATGGTCGCGCGTTACCAGTAGTGCCAAACCCTAGTATATACGTAGTGTATGTATGTATGTATGCCTGTATGATTGTGAGACCATGCGGGCGACCAGTACACGCTGCCATGCCATTCCTGCGATCGGAGGCCTGCAGGCAACCTAGAGAACAACGAACACTTTCTGCAGAAATGCAGCCCTCTCTCAACCTGCGATTCTCTCTTCCTGCCAGCTTCCGTTGAAAGTCACTTTTAGGCCTTCGTTCCGTTGGGCGACAAGGCGCCATGGAGGCTGATGGGGGCTTCAAAACACACAAGTGCCTGCCCCAGGGGGGAGTAAGGACTGGAGCCAATGTGCTCATGACAGCGCACAAGATAATGGGGCCGAAGCCCCTTGCCCCCAAATCCGGAATGCCCATCAGGTAAGTTAATAACAACGTCCTCGAAAATATATCCGGGGCAAGGCATTACCGCAGGCCCACATGCCTGGGTCAGATCCCGGGCGCTGCTATCCCCTTCCTGAGTACGGTAAATCCCCCTAACGGCACATGGAGGTTTGCCCTCAGAAAGCATCGCAGCTAGTTCCTAGGCAACTTTGCACAGTGCTGTGTGGGGCCATGTGTATGACAGAAGGACTTGTTAGACGACTCGCGGGGAAGTGCAGGTGGGGGACAAGGACCGAAGAAAGCCCGTTGCTCAAAAGGCAACGTTGCAGGATGAAGCGAGGTGAATGCACACGCAAGCGTACAGGCTTCTAGCGCATGCTTGAATACACTGGTAACAAACTTTAACAAAGATCCACGAGGTGGCATGCATAAACTGGCCCGCGGGCCAACCGTACGCCTCGATCTTGCTCTGAGACAATTCAACCCGTATCCTCAATATGGCGTCATTTTTAATTATTGACAATTACTGTTTTGCTGAGTCCTCCTCTGTTAAGCGGAGCAGTGTTTAGGGAACTTTGTAGGAGCTTTCCAATTGTAGGTCGCGTAAGGAGATCAGGCTTGAAAAGAACATATAGTTTTAATTATGCAGCAAGCACTTAAAGCTCACGCGTCAAACTGGCAGGCAGGCCTGCGGCGTGCAAGCAGCAAGCGACCGACCCGGCTTTATTGCCGAGCGGCTTCCGCGGTTCTCAGCAGCATCCCAGCAGATGCGGCTGTATCATGGGCAACTAGCAAGGGCGCCAAATTAGAGCGCGCTTCCCTATCGAACGACTTGCAAACCGACCGCCCCGTGCTCATCGCATCGACAGACGCGCAGCAGGGCGACGTGCTGTTCTCCGTTCCCGACAGCGCATGGCTATCCGCGGAGTCAGTCAAAAAAGCCGCGGTGGGCAAGCTCGCTGCTGCTGCTGGGCTGGAGCCTTGGCTTCAAATCGCATTACAGCTGGTAGCAGACCGCTTTGGCAGCACCAAGTCGGAGTTGTCAGCTTACGCAGCCAGCATCCCTGAGGATCTGGACACTCCGCTTCTGTGGAGCGAGGACGAGCTGCAGGAGCTGCAGGGCACGCAGGTCCTGCAAACGCTCGGGGGCTACCTGTGAGTGTTGCATGCGCGCAGGACCGCTTTCCCGCGCGCTCCCCCCAATGCCCAGATGAAGTAGTCGAGCCGCATACCCCATACCAGAGGAACAGTTCTGCAAGTCATCCCATCTTGCGTTCATCTGCGTTTCCTTGCGACACATTTCGTTTTAGCTTTTGCGTATGCTCCTAAAATCCCCTGAAACCGCCGGGCCGGGCACCCGCCATGTTCCACCGGGGCTCAACGCCGTGTAGAGATAGGGGCTTTACCTCGACCCTCACCCACCCCGACTCACCCCTTCCAGGACTTTCTTCCGTTCCACTTTTCAGCAGCTTCAGTCCGGCCTCTTCACCTCCAACCCCGCGGCCTTCCCGCCCTCCATCTTCACTCTGCCTCGCTTCCTGTGGGCAGTGGCGGCGGTGCGCAGTCGCAGCCACCCGCCCCTGGATGGACCCAAGATTGCCCTGGCGCCGCTGACAGAGCTGGTGGGTGCTGGAGCTGGCCGGTTGGTTTGGGCCCGGCGGCCAGGGTGCGGGCTGGCTGGCTGTCAGGATGGGATTGCTGGGTGGGTAGATGGTTGGCTGAGCAGGCGATTTGCGACTAGTGACTAGCTGGGCGGGTTGGCTGTCTGTATGGCTGGGCGGATTGGACGGCTAGGGTAGCTAGTCTGACTTGCTGGCTGTCTGGATGAGGCTCGGAAAGAGAACGCCCTGCTTGGGGCCAAGCCAAGTCAGGAATGTGACTGGGAATCTTGGGCTGTTGGTAATTTAGGCGGTGGGGCGGTGTGAGGCCTTCGACTGCTGTTTGTACTGTCTGTGGCTTGCGATCACTCTAAAAAACGAAACCCTGCCATTTGTCTCTGTGCGCTCTGGGAGGTGAAAACTGGTTTAAACATCTTGATCTTGACACATCCTTTCACGATGGGACTGACGCATGTGTGACTGACCCATGGGTCCTTCTGGTAGCGCCATTACTTCCAGCGCCCCTGCCGGTTGATCCTCGGAAAGTACGTTTTCAGCTTCTCTTTCCCCTCCCTGTCTGGGCCCGGCCCCGCTCACCCATATCGTGCTGTCCAGGTGTCTCATCGCCGTGCCGCCAACTCCAAGCTGTCGGTCCGGTCCGCGGGGCTGTTCGGGCGCGGCCAGGTGCTGGTGCTGGAGGCGACCAGGTAGGGGGGGGGGGGGGGTCCGGGCGGGCCGGGTCGGGTGGTTGGGGGCGGCAGGGGGGGCAACAAAACCGTCCTTGCGTGGTCCGGACGCGCGGGGCGAGCAGCAGGTGCTGTGGAGTTGGGATGAGAGCTGGAAGAACGATGTCGGGCCATGGGGGGGCTCCCGGAGTGCGTTTGTGCTTATGTATGCAGATGTATATGTATGTATGTATGTATGTATGTACGTACGTACGCACGTAGGTTTTCGAGGTGAGGGGTGGGAACGGCAATTTATCCTCCGAGCGGATGTTGTTTGGGCTATTGGTCTATTGGGAATGGAGACCCAGGTCGAGTCACGCCCATAAGGCCATCACGCCTACATGCATGCTCGTGTGAGACACCCCCGGGTGTGCGGTGGATGGGGTCGGCGACATGGGGTGATTTGATTTAGAATGCATGGGTTGCAATGTCCCCCATCCCGATAGAACGGTTTTGAGCATTTAAACACAGCGCCCTGCCCACACCCATATACCCGTATACCCGTACCTGCCTGCCTGCCTCTACCCGCAGAGCCATCCGCAAGGGAGAGCCCCTGTCTATGGATTACGGCCCGGGGAAGTTGGACGGGCCGGTACTGGTGGACTATGGAGTGATGGACGTCACGTCACCCAAGGTACGGCACCACATCGTACCACGTACGGCGCTCCACAGTGTACCCCCTCACCTGCCCCGTCACGTGTCTGGTCGGGCACGGAGTGCGTCCTGGCGGCCATTTGCTCATAGCCGCGCTCGTGTAACTAGGAGGTGTTTTGGGTGTTTGACGCAATGGCTGTAAGAGCGCGGCGGTGGGCATATGCGGGGCCGAGGACGGCGAGGGCGCCGGGTTACTGGGGAGGGAAGGGGGAGCGGGTATTAGGATGTGGGGTTGCTTGAGCGCCAAGGTCCCGGCCGCCCGCTAGCTCCGCGCCGGGTTGCAGGTGTAGGGCCGGTGTGGGGGCCGTGAGGGGGCAATGAGGGTCTGAGGGAGGCGTGACGTGGGGGCGAAGGAGGAGGGCCAGAAGAAGAGGGAGCTCGGGAACCCTAGGCCCAGAAAAGACGGAAAGGACAGCGGGAATGGAAAAGACTTGTCAAAAGCGGCCTCCTGACCGCTTCCAGGAACTGCTTCCAGGACAAACACACATGCACACGTACGTACACACAATAGACAGCTGTGCCTGCCTACTAAGTGCACCCGGATTTAACCAAAAGAGAGATTGTGTTTTTACTGCCTCTGCTGGCATTGCCCCACCGCGCCCTCCGCTACTGCGACCTTCGTGGTTTTATTTTTCTATTGCCGCTGTTGCTGCTTCCGCGCACGGTGCTGCTACAGCCTGGATATAGCTTAACGTTGAAGATGCCGGACAGTGACCGCTTTATTGACGACAAGCTCGATATCCTGGAGGTGGGTGCTGCTGCGGCGCCGCTAGTATCATAGGGGGCTAGCGCATGGGATGGATTTTAGGACGCCGGGCGACGTCTACAATGCAAAGCATGTTGTTAGTGGTGTTAGTGGCACTTTCTAACTATCTTTTTGGAGTAAGTAATGAAGCTACAAGTGCAAGTGCAGAGCAGGACAGTATGAGAGGTAGGAACCTGGGGCACCGGCAAAGGACATGTGTCCGGATATCTTCATCAGGCAACCCCTCCCCTTGAGCTGGGCCCCTCACCTCTGCGGCCTTGCCTCCATTCAAACTCTCGTGCATGTGCACCTCCACATCATCTTGGGACCTACAGACATCGTTACCGTTACACAACTGACACTGTTCGTACTGCACGTATCGTATTGCAGAGCAACGACCTACCGCAATCGGTGGTGTACAACCTGACGCCGGACGAGCAGCCCACCATAGAGATGCTCGCCTTCCTGCGGCTCATGCAGCTGAAAGGTGGGTCCTGGGTTTGGATGCTGGTGTGCGTACGTGCGTATGTATGTGTATGTGTTTTGAGTGGATGCCGGTACCAGAAATGGCAGTGACTGCAGGGGATGTAGGGGATTGCTATTCAGGTGGGGGGTAGTTGGACAGGGAAAGGGGATATTGGTAACGGGGTGTGAGGGGAGGGGGCTGTTGTGCCACCCGGGGAGGACCTCACCCTGAGTGGGTGGCTGGGCGAGGTGGGCGAGGTGGGGCCCCCAGTTGGGAAGCGGCCACTGCGGCCGTATGGACTGGTTGGGGGTGAGGGGGAGGTAAAGCGGGATGGCACAATCCCGTATGGGTGCTGCCCCGTATGGGTGCCCTGCATACGGGCGCTCCCTCCCCCCCGCCCGCTCCCTTTCCCTCCCGGGAGGCACTTTATATGCTTGGCTCGCACACTGGCTCACCAGGTCCACGGCACCTCTGTATGGGTGATATCCAGACACTGTTGGAAATGCGCGCAAGTCAGTAATGATGGTAGCCGATGTCCGTATTCGTTGGCTTTCATGGGAAGCCTCCGTTACAAACTGAGGAAATGTACCCCTGCAAGCAACGAAAGATAGGCTTCATGGAAGGATAGGGCCGGGTGCGGGCACACTACCCCGAGCCGACAAAACAAGGCCTACAGACCAACCTACGCTTCAGGACCTACAGGACCCTCATGTAGCTCTACACAAAACCCGAGTTAACCACAGCAGCACCGCCGCTCACAGCGACTCAACAACAGGCACACCACCAGACGGTACAGAATTTACTCCAAACACAGAAAACCCTAGTTTTCTAACGCTCCGCTAGAAAACTAGTAAGTTGCTGTCATGGGATCACGGCCCATCTAATAGCCTTGGCCGTTATGTTGTAGACACTCGCGCTGCAGAGCATCCGTGCAGAGCATCACCTGTCGTACACGGCAAGGCATCGCCCGTAAAGACACCTTTCACCACATGTGCTTCCTGCATGTCCGGATGCCGTGATGCGGGTCACCTGCAGGCAGCGACGCCTTCCTGCTGGAGTCCATTTTCCGGAACGACGTGTGGGGCTTCATGCAGGAACCGGTGAGCGTTACGGAGCGTTACGGGGGAAGGGTGGCGGGGCGCGGCCAAAGGGGCTCCAAGCGCTGCTTTGGAGGAAAGCGAAAGGACCGTCTCTTTGGCTATGCTGCTAGTGCCGTATGCTATTTGCATTCGGGTGTTGTCCAGACGGGCGGTGCTTCCGGTATCTCGAGCACACGTGCAGCTCGTTGCGACTGGACTGGCATCCTTTGCGGGTGTCCGGGCCACGAACCCTATCGCCCACCCGCGGCGGGCCTTAGGCCTGACCTGGGAGACGATTCTTCGTCTCCCCTGACATCCCCTCTCTATCCTTTCCCTCCTCGGGCCCCATCTGGATCGCAGGTGAGCGAGGGCAACGAGGAGGCGGTGTGCAACACTCTGTCGGAGGGAGCCCGGGCTGCACTGGGGGGTTACGGCACCACCATCGACCAGGATCTGGCAGAGCTGCGGGCCCAGGGGAGCAGGGCCAAGGGCAGCCGGAGGGAGGCGGCGCTGCTGGTGGGGCGGTGGGGTGCCGGGGGAGGGGCGTTGACCTGGCGGACGATCTGGGTGAACGGCGCAGTTACGGGGCTGGAAGGATTGCTGGGTGGGATGGCCCGGTTTCCGCTGGGTTGTGACCTGCGTGCTTTAAAAATAGGACGTAGATTTCGGGTGAAGTGCTGTGCCGGGATGTTGGGATGAACAGGTATGAATGAAATGTCGAGCAGGTGCCGTATCTTGTATCCTTGATACCCCGAGCTCCATGGCCTCTCATCCCTCCCCGTCACCATGCTCGCTATGTATGCCGTGTGTGCCTTACTCAGATTCGGCTAGGTGAGAAAGAGGCCCTGGACGCGGTGGCGAGATTCTTTGAGGACCGCCGAGCCACTCAGCTTAAGCGACTGGTGTATTACCAGGAGCGGCGACTGCGGCGGCTTGGGCTGGTGGACGATGGTGGGTGGGAGGAGGGGGAGGGTTCGTGTGGGGACGCATCTTTTGCCTGGGGAGAAAAGCTTTGGCCAGTCGTTTCTAACCAGTAGGGGCCAAAGGATGCGCGTGAGTTCTGAGCCGTGCCAGCTGCTGTAGGAGCCCTGGTTTGGGGTTCCCATGGCTGATGTAGGCATATGATGTAGGCCTCTCCCTGTCGCCTGTCGGTTTCCCTTTGGCACCTTGCCTTGCCTTGCCTTGCTCCGGCCTCAAGACGGCTTTCCTGGCTGACCGCTCCATCGTTACTTGGCGGGCCCATGTGGCCGCCACACGCCTGTTCAGGCGAAGAATCACCGCGTCTCTGCATATGCCCACAGCACGCCCTATCCTCGCCGTGCTATTCTCTGCTTGCAGAGGGCCGCACAACGTACGACAGCTTCTTCAAGGACGGCATCGCCTAAAAGCCTAGATTCCAGATGTCGTTGCCCGGGTGGCCGGGGTTGTGCGACTTTGGCAGCAGCAGGGTTGTGGAGGTCAGGTGGGGACAGGCAGCGTGGCTGATAGGTGCTTGGTCAGGTGGGGACGTCTGACCACTCATGGCTCGGCAAATGTCGGTGATATCGGGAACTTCTATTTTTATAAATCCGGGGGCACAAGGCGGTGAGCGTCTGCGAATTTACACGTAATGCCTGTAAGAGAGGGATGGGTGGAAAACAAGCAAGGTGTCTGAAGAGCTGGAGCAGGTTCGGGGAACACGTTGGAGTCCCGGGCGGGGTTGGGAGCAGTACCACTCATGTTTCGCTATAAACGCAGCCGTTGCCGTAGCAACTGTAAGGAACCGCAAAGTGTGAAACCGTCGAACTTGTCAAATATACGTTGTTACTTGCATAAGGCGGTGCTGCAGCGAACATCACATCTCCTGTGCCGCTTGCATTCCTCGGCCAACCCACATGCGGTTGCAGCCATTCGACCGACAACCCAACAGATGTACAGTCTGTGTTCAAGGCTTGTGTATGCCGCTGACGGTTAGTTAGTCCCAAGTCCCGAGGAGCACAATAACCGTCATACCAAGGGTGAGCGTCCTCTAAAAGTCTCCACACATGTGACCTCACACATCGCCCCAATATCTCTCACCCAACGTTCTCATGGGCGCAAGCACAGGTTCCGCAGCAAGTGGCAACCTAATTCCAGCTACCCCAGACAAGCTCCGGTGTGTGCGGCTCGTGGGAGAAAACATCACGGCATCTACCCTCCCTGGAAGAAGACCTCCCCTTGTGGCTGCTGTGGGCCACAAAAGCACTTGTATGCGTCCCCGTGCCCACCCCCCAGCACCACCAGCACAGCTGGCAAGGTGCTGCCGAAAGGAACCAATCGCATATCGGCCGTTGTGGACAAGGCGAGCTGGTTATGGCTGCGGAGGGCTGTAGGAGACCTCCAGCCTTAGCTGTGGCCTACACGCCTAAGACCCCCAAGCTCTGCACCTTACCTCCACATCAGCTGCCACTAGCCTCCGCGAGAGCTCGATCGCTGTTTTTATCTATATTTATATGCAAACATCCACACGCACGTATGGCGAGCATGGTTCTATATCGGTAGGAGTGGTGTATCGAAATGCGCATACAAAGCAACGCGCACAAACCAATCCCATTCTCATGTTCGCCGTTCGCTTCATGCTTCTGTGTCGACATGGTCTATACATCCTAAGGCTAGAGGCACCCGATGACACACGAAACCTAGACAGCGCAGGGGTTCGGAAAATCAGAAAATTGCAACCATCGTGCACCACGCCAACACTGGGTCCTTCGGAGACTCCGACAACCGAGGGAGCAGCAAGGGGACCCACAACGCCGCTTGCCCCACAGCCACCACTACAACTGCCTCCATAGTCACCACTGCCTCGAGCTTCGCAAGTAGCAGCCGCAGCAAAAGCTACACTGCTTCCTGGCCACTTAGACTGCGCTCCCATCACCCACGTCATCGCCGTTGTTGCTGCTGCTGCTGCTGTGGCGGCGGCCTCTTGTCCGCCAGCTGTTGCTCTAGGCGATGCAGCATGCAGCTCAGGGCATCTACCTGCTGCTGGACCGATGGGAGCGTCAGGATGGCCTGGATGCTCTCGAGCACCGCCTGTCGCATCTCGGGTTCCGCCACCTGCGCGCAGCAGCAGAATGGGTAAGGAAGAGGGGCGGAACGGCCTGAGCGGGAAGCTGCTGTTTGTTAGCGTAGTAGTCGTCTGCTGTGTTTGTTTCTTTCACCGGACGTTATCTCTTGTCGCGATCACGGCTACCTAGGGTAATCGCCCGTGGAACGCTAGCCGCGGAGCATTTGGATGCCGTTGCCTGGTCCCTGCCATGGAAGTACCCTATCACCATCATCACAATATCACCGCAGCAATAAGGCTGAGCACATCAGTTTATTCGACTCCAGGCAATACAAAGCCGCCTAACCGCGCAATGGGGAAGGACAAAAACGTTTCCGCAAGGCTGCACATCGAGGAAGTTTGAATGCAACGCCGCCAGGTAGACCTCCCAGAAAGGCTGTCGTACCTGCTGCAGCACACGCCGTAAGTACGGCATTAGGTCCGGTGCATGAGGACGGAAGGCTTCCTGCATCAGGTCCACCGTGGCATTAAACCTCCGTTGCGGAGTCTGCTGCTGCAGCACCAGCAGCTGCATCTGAGCCTGTGACAGCTGCTGCGCCACCGCCGCTGTAGGGAATACGACCGACTCGGGCAGTTCGCCACGGTCTTGCTGCAGGCCCGCACGGCCGCGGCGTGGGTCTTGCCTTTCGGGTGAAAGATCTACCCTCCGCACGTCCTCACTTTGCTGTTCAGCCGGAGGAAGCCGCTGCTGCCGTTGCTGTTGTTGCTGCTGCAGCAGCTGCACTAGCTGTCGCTGTTGTTGTTGCTGCTGCTGTTGTTGTAGCTGTACTAATAGTTGGAGTTGTTGTTGTTGTTGCTGCTGCTGGTAGCCTAGCGGGTGCTGCCGCTGAGCCTGAAGTGGCAGCGTCACCAGTGCCGGCGCTGCCGGCGCTAGCTCCTGCACTGGAGACCGTGCCAGCTGCAGCGGCTGTAGCCGAAGGGGCGACAGCAATGCACCCGCCGTTAACGGTGGCCCTAACCCGGGCGACTGCGAATTCCCAGAGCCAACGCCTGCCGTACTACTACATGCTCCCGCCGCTGCCGCCGGCACCCCAGCCCCTATGTAGCGAGAGACAGGGGAGTTGTGGAGCAGCATGAGGCTCTCGATGGCGGCGGCGGTGTCGGTGCGCGCTGTGTGCTGCCCCTCTGCAGGCCTTGCAGTCGCGGGTCTGTCCGCTCCTCCCCAGGGTGCCGAAGATCCCGCCTGTCGTGATGGCACCAGCTCCGGCTGGGGTTCCGGAACTATATGTGCGGCACCAGCTGAGCCAAGCAACCTCTCAAGGCCCCCGGCCCGCGCAACCAAAAGCTGCAGCAGTTGCAGTTGCTGCTCTGCAGTGGCAGCAGCCGTTGTTGCTGATGAGACGGGACGCGCGGGAGCACCGGTGCCTTCGGCCGCGATAGCAACAACAGAGGTAGCAGCAGCTGCGGCAGCCGCGTCGGCGCCGCCATTACCCACCATACCATTCCCCGACGCCATAGCTTGCCGTGCAATGCTGACAACGGGCGCCTTTGCTGTTGCTGCTGTCCCTGCTGCGGTCCCTGCTGCTGCCTGTGCCGTTACCGCCGCTACCCCTGCTGTAGTCTTGGCTCGGGAGCCCTTGGAAGGCTTGCGCTGCCTGGTGCGTTGCACCTCCTGGGGGTGTGGCGGTGACGGGGACCGAGGCGCGCTGGCGGGAGGAGGGTTGCTGTGCTGCTGTGGCTGTGGCGGGCATAGCTGCGGCTGCTGTTGTTGTTGAGTAACAAGGACGTTCGGTCCGCGGGGGGCGCAGGGGGCGGCGAGAGCCGTAGCAAGCGTCACGAGCTGCTCCACATTCTGGATCCCGCCCATAGCGCCATTGGTATCACCTCCGCCATTGCTGCCTCCAGACGTACCTGCAGTGTCGGCGGTAATTGCTGCAGCGGGTCGTCTCACAGCGGCTGGCGCCGCGCTCTGATCGCAGTCCAGCCCGGTCGCGGGCCCCGCACCCGTTGCCGCCGTGGCAGTTGCTGTTCCCCGGGCCTCCGCCCCCGGTCCTGCTACTGCCCCTCCTGCAGCAGCTGCCTGCACCACTGCCCCTGTTGTGCCGCCATCCCCATTTTCCGGCTCTGCGGCCAGCGCTGCTGCCGCCATCGGTGCTGTCCCAACTGGCCCTGCAGCTGCAGCTGTGGTGGTTGGAACCGCTGTGGTAGTTGCAACCGCTGTGGTAGTTGCAACCGTTGTGGTGGGCACTTCGCCCGATTGGACCCCGGCGATGGCGTCTTCCACTGCGCGGACCAGCTGCCTGAGCCCCGTTACCGCACCGAGGCGCGTGGAGCTTCGGTGGTGCCGACCCACACGGCGCAGCAGCTCCTGCAAACGCTGCGGCCCCACCTCGGGTGTCAGCCGCAGCGCCTGCCATCAGATGGCGGCAGCGGGTAGCGGCGGGTAGCAGTGTGAGGCGGCGGCATCGATACACGAATTTAGCTGCTGGAGCAGCAAAGCTCTGGGTTGCAGTTCCAACAAGCGTAATCTATCCAAGAGTGCAGCTACCAATGGCATATGCGTTTTCCTTGGCCGTCATCACAATGCCCCCCATAAGTGGATTTCTGACCGGGTAGGCTGCACTTGGTGCTGCATGCTTGGTTCTTACTTGTGGCTCTGATACAGAGCACGGCGTTCCCAACCCCAGCAACCAAAAGGAAACGACGCGGGGGTTGCCGTAGATTTCATTCTCGTCAGGAGAAGGCAGGCCAGGCCCTCGCTAGAGAGAGCAGCACTCCCTAAAGCAGCAAAGGGGATGGCGTCTGGTCTGGGGGCCCGTGCGACGCCACGTTGGTTTAAAACTGTACCCTCGGCCATCGGCCCGATCGCCCCGCACCGGTCTGGGCACACCCCTGACACCCCGGAGACATCCCGGAGCCCATGCTCTTTCCCGTACACGCCGTACCTGAATGTACTGCAAGCTGAAGCACCGCAACAACGGCTCTCTGAGCAGCGACGCCGCTAATGCCCCGGGCACCTGGCGGCCGTACTGGCGGCCTACATGTGCCGCCTGGGCTGCTGCCGCCGCCAGGCTCGGCTTCGTGGCGCCTGCAGCCCCGCCGGCTGCTGATTCGGTCCAGTAGTCAAAGTTGAGGGAGCAGAGTGGCGCCAGAGCATCCAGCATGGCCAACCAGGACGGTGAGGCTGTGAGCCCCGTTCGGATTGAGGAAGGGGACACCGCTGCGGCTGCGACTGCTGCCGAGCCGGCACCGGTGCTGCCTGCGGCAGCGGTGGCGATGGAACCCCCTCGAGTGGTCCGCGACACAGGCCCTGGCTCCCGCGTCCCTGCTTGCGGTTGCTGTTGCTGCGGCTGCGGCGGTAGTGGTTGCTGCACCTGTTCCTGCTGTTGCTGCTGGGCCGCGCGCGTTTGGATGTGTATTCCGGCGCTTGGCCGAGCAGCAGCCCCCTCCAAGTTGGCCACGGTGGAAGCAGGCCGCGTGTCCGCATCATCCAAGCCCGCCTGGTCGTGAGCGTCCGTCGGCGTCTGCTGCTGCTGCTGCTGCTGATCTTGCGCCTTGCCTGCCATGCCATCTGACGCTGCCCCGATGACGGCAGTCGTATCTGCGGGCCCATCAACCTGCATAGCGTCGGGACTGCCCCCATCAATTTCAACCGCATTTGCCGCTTCAGCATCAGCCGCCACCGTCTCCGATACCCCTATATCCGCTGCTGCCTCAGCAGCAGCAGCGGCAGCAGCCGAAGCCGCGTTCTCAGCGCGCGCGGCCGCAAGCACCTGCTGCATGCGCTCCTGAAGAACCTTGGAAAGCCAGGCTTCTGAGGGGACCTGCCCAGCCACATCAGCGGTGGCGGGAGACGCGGAGCCGCTGCCGCCTTCAGCGCCACAGTCAGTCCCCGCTGGAGGTGCTGGAGGTGCTGCTTCCCCCGGCCCAGCCACAACCCGAGTGGCCACATCCGCCAGAGACAGGCCCAAGCTTTCACATGCTGACGTCACCGTACCCGTTGCCATAAGGCCCAGAGCCAACACCGCAAGGTCGCGAATGTACGGCATCTTATCCGTGACACCGTACAAAACGGGTACGGCAGCCTGCAGCGTGGCCATGTCCTTCCGTTCCCAAGAAACCTGTTGCAAAAGGGCGCCAGGTTCAAGGACCAGTCCGAAGCGGCAAAGGAACAGAGGCAGCGGTAGCAAAGCCACAGATCCATCGGCCTTATAATAGAAGATGTGCTTGCCAACACCGGAAAGTGTCGTACATGTCCTATGCTGCACTCCGTGACTCTTCGCCATTGCCAAGGTGAACTGCTGCTGCGCCATATGCCCAACCCGCACACTTCCCCCCGGCCGCTTGGCTCCAGGGTGGGAGACGCCCATCCAAACCGCCCTGCTATACACGCCCCTTCAGAATCCAGTCAGAAATATCCACAGACAAATATATCACAAATATCCATCTGAGGTCAGGACTCAAGATGCAACGCATCCGGCTCCAGCTGCATGGGATGTTGGGCCTGGCAGCCCCCTTGCTAACCACCAAGCTTTGCCCCCCGACTTGGCTTCACACGATCAGAGCTACACCTACAAAGGAAACCCCAACGGGAACTCCTCACACCCCGCAAATCCCACCTGCCGCGTGGTAATACCTTCAGTCTTTGAGAAAAGGAATCCCCCCCAGTGAGTTGCGGACAGCGTTGCTGTGCGGCGCTGGGATAAATGCGCCCCGAGAGCGCGGTCGTGACGGTACGAGAAGCCCGTACCTCTTTGAGGTTCAGAGATAATCTCTTCAGAAGTAAGATTTGTTCGGAGGATAATGATGATATCCCATACAGCGCAATACGTTTTTCCTTGGTTTGCGCATGTTCCCCACTCACCCGCAAGTACAACGCCAGACACTTCCGCAGCGCCGTGACGTGCTCTCGGTCGCTCTCCTCAAGCCCGTTACCAACCACCATCTAGTTGGGTCAACCGCCAACGGCCAACAGCATCGCGACGCAGCCATGTCATACCCGGGGCGATTACAGCAACGGGGTGAAAGGCGGGGGCGACATGCAGTAACTGAACTCAAGCAAGGCCCAACTGCAACATTACCCCAATGTCATACACACGCTCATACACAGGCGCAGAACCAGGGCTCCATCCAGCCCATTGCGTTGCATATTGGAAGGAAATCAGGGCTGAAATATTAGGAAAAATGTCCGATAACTCTGGGAAAGGTCAGGTCAGGTCAGGTGAGCTGTGCCAGCGTACCTGCGGTTCCACCGCCCACAACGCCGTCGGCAGATTCCGTCGCAGGTCATCCGACTCCGGCTCCGACTCGCTACCCTCGCTGTCACCTCCACTCGGGCCGTGTCCGACCTTCTCGTCTCCACCGCCGTCAGCAGCGACGCCAACCTTCGCGGGCCGCTGGCCAAGCGTGCCCTCATCCTCTCCCTCCGCTGCCGCTACCGCCACCGCTACCCTCGCGACTTCCGTCGCGACTTCCTCGCCCTCGTCCTCCTCCACCGCCTCCGGCGCGACACACGTGGGACTGCTACTCGGCATTACAGCTCGCGCGCGGGCTCTTCTGCGGTCGGCTGGCTCACCGGCGGAGGGCTTGCCTGCGTCCCCCCGCCGCTGCCGCTTCCCTGGGCGCTCCACCCCCGCGCCTTTCCCATCTTCGCCTGCCGCGTCAGTGCCCTCCTCCGTGTCCTCCGCTTTATTTGCCACGGGGTGACCTCCGCAACCCACCGGCCTGGAAGCTGCCGCTGCTGCTGCTGCTTCCTCCCGCCGCTGCCGCGCCGCCTTGCCCCGCTGATACTGCTGTAGCTGCTGCTGCTGATCATCATGTTGATGCTGTTCGCGCTTCTGCTTTTGCCCCGCAGCTCGTGCCGCAGCAGCAGCCTTGCGGCGCAACTGGCCAAAGCCGCGGTCACCCACGCGGCCGATGTTGAGTGCAAAGGCCGCCCTGCCGCGGGCGGGTGTGAAGAGCTGTCGCAGCTGCGCATCCGCCTCATCAGGCCGCCCCAGGAGCACTTCACACCGGGCAAGGGCGTATCTAGCGGGATGGTAGTTGTGCTGCTCCTTCCCCGCCTTGTACGATCGCACGGCAAAGGTGAGGGCCTGACGTGCGTCATCAAGTAATAGCTCCTGCGCAGCCGGCATTTGGCTGGGTGATTATTTGCGGGACGCTTAGCTCGGCATTAAGGGTTTCGTAAATATAGTCCATGGGCCCCGGGCTTTGAAGGACACCCCCGCAAACGTTCGGAACTTGTAACTGGTAACGTGAAGGCTACTAAAAAAATCCCAGATAGGCATAGATAACGAGTTACTTTACAAAAACCACTTCACACAGCATACAGACAGCAAGAACAACATCACTCCACTCCCATAAGCAATAATCCAACGAACGTAGCGCTGTATATGTGAAAACTGCAACTGTACAGATTGGACATTTGCAATGTTGCTGCATTCAAAGGTTGCTGCATGGCAAGTCATGGTAATGAGTCCATAGCCCCACAGGGAGCGGTTCCCCTCCGAAAGGCCGCCTACCGTCAGCTCATCCACTGTCATCGATCCAGCGGCCGCGTCCATAACCTGAGGTACGGCAGCATCTCCCGACTCCAGAACCGCTGCAGCACTCGCTCCTGGAAGCTGTACGGCAGTCCCGGGGTTCAGGGCTGGCAGCGGGCTGCGCGCGTCGCCGTCGGGGTGGAGCCACAACGCAAGGCTCCGCTGGAAGCAGTACCTGCACCGTCATGATCGCATGTACATACATACATACATACATACATACATACATACATACATACATACATACATACATACATACATACATACATACATACATCAGTCTTGTGGTGTGAGCTCTTTGCGCTCTTTTTTGCGTGAGGATTTTTGAGCTTGGTGACCTCCCCAGCCCGGGAAGACTCGTCGGGCTCCCGGTCGCCCAAGTCCTGGTAGCGAGCTCTCTGAGATGCTCGGTTCGTTCGGTCGGCAGGAAGAGCCCCCCAGTTGCGACTTCGTTTATGTTAGGAGACCAACGGGCATAGATCCCGTCTAGTTGGAGCGCCAAACAAGCGCTGTTGCGTGCCGGCCGTCGTTTCCCGTGCGGCCTGACCCGGGGGCGGAGTGCATGAGACTAACCAGCCGTATGCACCCGCCCCCCGCGCTGTGCTTCGGCCCTGGGCCCCCGGCTTTTCAGCCCACAGTGTAATCAACGTCATACATACATACATACTTACATACATACATACATACATACATACATACATACATACATACATACATACATACATACATACATACATACATACATACATACATACATACATACATACATACATAC